TCGCCGCCGCGGGCCTCACCGAGTACATGTTTGACATTGTCTGGGTGACGTGGGCCGCGACCCTGCTCGCCGCGCTCGTCGGCCGCTGGGGCTGGCTGCTCTGGGCCGTCGTCCCCGTGTACGGGGTATGGATGGCCGCCGGCCTGCTCGGCTTCGGACGCGCGCAGCCGGCGCAGCTGCAGGGCCCGGGACAGTCTGAGGCCGCTGCTCCCCAGGGCAACCGTCGACAGCGTCGAGCCGCCTAGGCTCAGGTTGCTAGGACAAGAGAAAACGACCACGTCTATTGTTTTACGAAGCATTTTAGACCTTTATACATGTATAACATTTGTATGATATTCGCTCTTATGCCATGTGATTTTACTCCTCCCACGGTCTCTTGCCCTTGGGCCGCTCGCCCGTCCACTTCTCCAGCGTATCGTGATCGACGTCCTTGACCAGGACGTGAAAGTGCTCCAGCGCGCGCACGCTCTGCAGCGCCACCCAGTTCTTGAACCACAACACGCGGTCCGCGCCGCCCGGCCCCAGCTCGTCCACAAACGTGCGCTGCACAAAGTCGCCAATCAAGCGGCGGCTCTCCGGCAGCAAATCGCCCTTGTCGTCGTCCGCGGGGATGCGCGTGCGCGTCCACACGATGATGTGCGTGATGCCCGGCGCCAGCGCGTACGGCCAGTCGTTGAGCAGGATCGTGTAGTCGGACGCGGCGGCCAGCGGCACCGTCGACGTGGGCGTGAACGGTGGCCGGCCCCAGGCGGCCGGCAGCCGGTTCGTCATGAGATACTCGGTGATGGACCCGTACTGTGCCTTTATGCCAGCGGTCCACTCGAGATATTTGCGTAGCTCCGTCGGTGTGCGTTTAAAGTCCTCCAGCTTATTGGATTCTGTGAACCAAAATAAAAATCCAAGGCAAGCTGAATTAGCCGTGCCGCTCACATTGGGCCGCTATGTTTGGCACGGATACTCACCAATGATCCTCCTCAGGTCCTCCCAATCATGCTTCTTGAACGTCTCGTCCGTCTGCTCTAGTGTCCATTTGTCGACAGTTGTGAGGTTAAACGCCGGTTGGGAGGGCACCGCCTCTGCATTGAAGCTGCTTTCGCCCATCTTCGGGGAGACGCGTCGCGGGGTGAAGTTGGCGGGGTGAAGTCGGTGAGGGGCAGGCGGGTGAGGCTTCAGGCGTGCTAATAAGGCAGGGTCCAAAGCTGGGTTGCACAGGAAATAACGCTCGTTGGTAATCTGCTGTTTATCAGCAAACATGCATAAATTGATGCACAAGTATGCTAGTCGGGCCAACATTTTCGCGTAGTCGATGGAGGGCCAGTCCCATATTTGTGAGCCGCACGGCGACCCAAGTACGACTGGCTCACGCCAACAAAGTATACTTCAAGCTTAGTTATGCTTTTCTTGGGGGCTTTTTTTTTGTTTCTAAATAAGAAACCCTATTTGAGCATGCTGTCGATTCCAAACGGCTTGTCGAGGCAAGAACCTGAGAACGGCGGCTATCACTAGTGAAGCGATGGTGTAGTGTATGCCAGTACACATAGCTCAGGCTCTCGAATCAATGTTCATTTGTTCAACTGTCGCTTGATTTCTCAAATATGGTATGGGTCCTATAGTCGAGAACCTGACCTTCCAAGTCATCAGCGTAAATCGATCAGCAACAAATGTGTGGTGGATCCTACACAGATTGCATGAGGATCGATCGGCCCGTCCATAAGTACGGAGTACACCAGTTCAATACATTCATACCAAGTAGTCCTACAAATCTTGGAACAATCAGCTCGTGCAAATACCTTGCCCGAGACTGGTACCCAGTCCCAGGTATGTAGTTGAACTACCACCTGATTTCTCGTCGTCAGTATTGTCGCCTACCCTGCATTCCTGCTGGCAGTGGAAAAGGTTGGCAGTTGCACAGCAATCACTTGGAGTGTATTCAGGCTCACGCCACTCTCTTATGACATCCCACGTAATCAAAGTCACCTCAAACACAATTAATTTACCGAGGCTATCACATATCACAAGGGTGCAGGCTAGTATTCATGAGAGGTTGTTTAAGACCGTTGGCGCTAATCATGGCTCCCAATTGAAACGAAACAACATCATGCTCAGAACAAGGACAGCCGAAGATGATTTCAATAACCAGAGAGCCAAAATAGTTTCCCCAACCGACCAATGCCTTACCAAAGCCTTGGGCTTGATCGGCTTCCCCCGCACTGTTAGCGTCGTCCACACCGCGGGCTCATCATTTCATGAGGGCCGGCGGGGAAACGTAGCTGCGACGGAGGTCCGTCCACCCTCGGCAACGGCGTTCAGGCCGGCTAACAACCCCGGTTCCATTGGCCAATTTCCCCATGTCTGTAATTCTTGAAAAGAAGAGATATCATTTTCAGTCCTCTTTTCACCACTATAACCGATTGACTCGACTCTTGCTCCCTTTACACTCATTTTTGCTAGCTATGATTTTTGAGCCGCAGTCCCTGCTGGACCACGCCGTGACCCTCGGTATCATCACACCGCAGGTTATACGGCAAGCTGGACCAATACGAGGAACCATTGCGCTTCTCAAGCTACTCTTCATATTCTGCAAGTGCCATTTTACCTGCTCTTTCACCACACCCCCATCATCCTTTTTCCACAGCTCACTCTAACACTTACTGCCCCCCAAAGTCCCAAAAGCCACCTTCCAGCTGATATGGACGCGGTACCTGACGGCGCGCAAGAACCGACCGCTGTACATCCAGCAAGCTAACGTCGCAGAGGACTTTGCGCTGCGGCTGCTGCGCTGGTCGGCCGCCAGTTTACACCCGCGGGTGCTACGCGCCGTCACGAGCCAGTCATCGGCGGCGCACATTGTCAAGTGGCGCGCGTACCGTAACGGCTACGCCAGGTACAACGAGCATGTGCAGGAAAAAGTCCTGGAAGAGGTAAGTGGAATCCGTGTGGAACTACATGGAAGGCTTGAGGTTAACACAAGGCTGGGTAGGGCCCTGAGAGAACACAGGGTATTTGGGTCAGACACGACAAGAACAAGAGGCATGACATCATCCTCTTGTATATTCACGGTACGGGACAAAGAAACGCTGCAACCATGCGGAGCATCACAATGGGACTAACGTCACTTTCACAATACAGGCGGCGGCTACGCTGTCCTCTCGGCCAAGTTTTACGTCGAGTTCCAGCTCGCGGTGCAGAGCAGCCTGCTCGACGCGGGCTACGAGAACCCGGCCGTCTTCAGCCTCGACTACACGCTAGCGCCAGACAAGCACTTCCCGGGGCAACTCAACGAAGCGGTGCTTGCGTACAAGGAGGTGCTGGCGGCGGCGGACGCGGACACCAAGATTTGCGTCGGCGGAGATTCGGCGGGCGGGATGCTGACGCTGACACTGTTGCAAGAGCTGGCATCGCGCAAGCTGCGGGACGAGCCCCTGAGCCGCCACCCGGACCTGGCAGTGCTCATCTCGCCGTGGGTGACGCTCAAAACGCACCTGCACCGGGCATCAGATCTCGACTACATCCAGCCCGACACGTTGGCGCGTTTCGCGGATCTATACACGGGCGGCGGTGGTGTGGGCGCATACGCGGCGCCCGCCTCGCCGGGCAGCTGCCAGGACGAGGGCATCTGGGAGGCGGCGCGCCCGGCGCGGGGCTACGTTATCACGTACGGTGAGGAGGAGGGCCTGGCCGAGGATATCAAGTACCTGATTCAGCACCAAAAGTCACGGGGCACAGAGGTGCGGGTGCTGGTGGACGCTGGCGGTGTGCATGTGTGGCCAGTGATTTCGCTGCAGTTCTGCACGACGAACGAGAGGCGCGTGCAGGGCATACAGTCTATAGTCAGGGAAATTAGAAGCGCTCTAGCGTAGAGTCGGGACGGCATGGGATAGAACTGGTGGGTATGGGAATCAGATTAGATCAAGTAGGCACTCACAGACGTGGCCTCGTGTGCGAGTTGGGAACCAGAGTCTGCGGGGAAGTGCAGAGGCGGCTTCGTCATCGCGGCGCACGTCTCAGCAAGTTTATAAAGCTCATGAATTGTTGACATCATTTTGTTTTGCATGTGTTTGTGTGCGTGTGCGTGTGTTTGTGTGCAATGTGACGTACGTATAAGGAGAAGTGCAACAAAGGCAGGGTTGTGGACGGTTGAGAGCGAGGCAAAAAGGAGGGCGCTTTGAATTTTGGCGTTGAGGGTAGACGATGACGGCGAAACAAGGCGCGGGTCGTGCAGCGGCGCGCCCGTCAGACGCAATAATCGTCAAGCGCGGCCTCGCTGCTGTGATATGAAGCTAGAAAAAGGCGGAGGGACAGGGTCTTGGGCGACACAAAGGGGCAAGGGACTCCGGTAGCTCAGAGGAAGACATAGCAGTGACGAGATGTTGCGCTGCCTCATGTTTTGTAGTCTAGTCGATCGGGTGTTTCGAGTGACTGTCGAACCGGTCAGCTGGTCAGACGAGAGGGGAGGACAGGGCGTTTGCTTGTTGGAGGTCAGAGCAGAAGTTGGATGTTGAAGGTTGGAGTCGAAAGGTTGAGGCGTGAAAAAGTGCGGGGGCGTTGGAGGTGGGTACCTACGATCTGAAGCGAGTCCCTCGTGCTTGCGACTATGTAGGTACCTAGTTAGAGGCACTGGCGGCATTTTCTGTATTCGCTATTTCCCAGAATGATATAATTTAAAAATGACGAAAGTATGTGAGTATAATGATATCTTGTTGAGCGCTTAATAGGTTTAATGACGGGGACGAGGCAGTAATTGGTAGCCTGTCAGGGTTTGCTGGGCTGCGGAACGAATAAACTGATAACAGTATTCGTACAAGAAGCATGGTAATCATGAGTAAATTCTGGGAGGGAAAGAAAGAAAAAAACAAAGAAAAGTCTATGCAAGTATGATTCACTGATACCCAACTTGCCCGCAGCTAGGCAGCAAGACGGCTGGGACTGGATAGATGTTGCTGTGAATAATGGATATGCAGGTACATAGTAATGTAGGAACGGCTGAACCACCACCCATGTACACGGTATCTGTACAGCGATCTACCCAGTGACACCAGTCGTGGTGCTGTACTGGTACGGAAGCAAGCACGCAAAAGAGGGGGGTCTGCTGCTACATACATCGGGGAGGTCCTCGAACGCCAAAAGCCTAGCACCAATCCAGTCGCTGTGCATCCACACTCGTTCAGCGATCTGACCATGCACCATGCACCCTGTGTGGCAGGGCATTGGCCATGGGTCGCTGTGGTGCTGCCACCATCCATCACTGGTCATTGTCATCAGCCACCTGTCAGCCCGCGCCTGGCAGACTTGCATATAAACGGGCGGAGCGCCCCTCCTCTCGACACCCCCAGACGCCGCCAATCCAGACCAACAGGCAACAGGCGGCACTGCAGACAGACAGTTGGTGCCAATCCTCTTTGCGCGCCTCGACTTGTTACTCTCGCTGTTGCCGCGTCGCATTATTTCCATTCATTCCCCGACGCGCATAAGAGCACATCTTCCACCAAATACCTCAATCTTACCCTCCCTACTTCAGTTACGCCCCTCCTCAACGCCCGCGCCTTGCACTAGTCAACTCGTTTGTCGCAAGTACCGTCATCCTTGTCGCGATTGTTGTCGGCCGCTCGTCTGAACCGCCATCATCCCCAAAATCCACCGAGGTTCCGTCCTCGTTTCCATACCTACGCACCTGCCATCCCGACGCGCCCTCTACACTGCCGCGCTGTCGTCCTCTTGATCCGTGGGCACCGCCGGCCGTGCCCCGCCATCACGCCCGCATCCGCATCCGCACAAAGCTCCGTCGCGCGCGCGCAAACAACAAGCCGCCACCAGTGCGACTGCGTCCCGTGTAACTGCGCACGCCGTGACTCGCTCTCAAAAGCTGACGGGCGAGGGAAATAAAGTCGGCTCGTTTGGCCTATTTATTTGACGCGCAAAAGCCTCTGAACCGTTTGTTCTCGAGCTGTTGTCTTGACTGTCGCAAACCCATTTGCGACACGTTTGCGCCGGGCACTACAGCACCAAGGCCCTGTACCACAACCACACCAGCTTCAAGCAACTTGCCCTCACCAACCAGCACCTGCGTCTACCACCCCAAAAAAAATCGAAAAAGAGGCGCTGACCGTCAGTCAAAACTAAGCATTGCTTAATTGCAAACTCATACGCGATAGCTTTTCAGAACAACTGCGAGTCTGCAACCTTGCCTAGCAGGCCCCTCTAACTCGCTGCATTCACGCAGCGCTCCATCCCCGGCCCGCTCTAATTATCGGTCACCTCGAGGCCCACCACCGCCGGCCCAAATTTATTTTATCATGTCTGGCGACGACTCTTCCTACGCTCCCAAATCCCCAGACTTCTCGTCTTTCTTCTCCTCCGCTCCCACCGAACAACCACCACACCTTGATCTTGGACCGTCGAGTCGTAGCCAACAGTTCAAACCTCCTACTTTTGGCTACACTTCGTCCTACATCCCCCCAACCTCGACCAGCTTCAACCTTGGCAGCTACGGCGCGACCAGCAACGCGTACCAGCCACCAGTCCTGTCGCCGCGAAACTCGTTTTCGCAGACATTGGCCGCTCAGCCACCCTGCAACCAGAAGTTTCAACTGCAGGACCCCAGCGAACTTCCGCCGTCGACAACGTTTGCCGACCCATATCCCCCGACCGTCCAGCCACGAACAGCTGTCAAGCAAGAAGCCAAGATGCCTCCCCGCAAGGCGGCCAAGGAGCCTTCGCCGCCCGCGCCGCCCATCATTGACTCGTCCATGGTCAAGACAAAGTTCCCCACGGCCCGCATCAAGCGCATCATGCAAGCCGACGAGGAAGTCGGCAAGGTCGCGCAGCAAACACCCATCGCTGTCGGCAAGGCGTTGGAGCTCTTCATGATTCAGCTCGTGTCTAAAAGCGCCGAAGTGGCCAAGGACAAGGGCTCGAAACGCGTCACGGCTTCCATGCTCAAGCACGTGGTCGAATCAGACGAGCAGTGGGATTTCCTGCGCGACATTGTGAGCCGTGTTGAAATCGAAAAGGAAGGCCCCAAAAAGGAGCCCAAACCAAAGGCGGAAAGCGATAGCGAAGACGAGCAGCCTAAGAAGAGACGAGGCGAACGAGGTGCCGGGCGAAAGAAGAAGACATCCTAGTGTTCCCTGCGGCCGGCGCTTTGCATTTCCATCTCTTCATCCCTTTATTTTGCCTACATCTCGGAAGGCGAGCTTAACGAAGCTACGAAAACCAAAAAGGGGGCGGGCGTTCTTCACTGGTCGACATATATTACGGCGTTGCATAGGTTCGGGGTTCAGGAGTAGGCTTAGAAAACGGCATCATGTCTCGCCAAAAGCATTACTATTACGAAATAGGGCAGATTGCCGAGTCTTGTGAGTATTGAATTAATTCGGTGGCAACCACATCAAGTCTCGAGTCTACATGAACTGTGTCAAAGAGATAAAGTGATGACACAAGGAATTGGTGCAGTAATGCTTGGTTTATGCTGCATGTCTTGGATGCTGACGTGGTGGTCCCTTGCAGTCGGAGGTACAAACGCAACCTAGCTGCGGCTCTGCGCATTCTGTAGTGAAGATGGTGGCACCGAGATGGGCTACTGGCAGCAACTGAAGCAATGCAATTACTTCAAAAACGTCTTGAATTTCCTGGTGAGAAAAAAGGTGCTGACCAGGAAGTCATCTACTCGTTGTACCTATGTACCCGTCCATGTCTGTACTGTTGATCAAGACACTGACATTTCTAATGTGGGTAGTTGGCCAATGGAATGGTGGCCGCAGCGGACACCACCAGTTAGAAAGGCATGTACCAGCATGAATTGACGAGACAAGGTCCCAAGTGCATATTCAAAGGAGAATCAGGAAGACGCGCTTAGCGTGCAATGGCCGTGGACAGGTTATCAACCATTTTAACTATAATTTATGGCTTGCCTGCCCGCCGCACGTCTGTCCTCGTGTACACGAAGCATGTCAAGAAAGCTTCGTTCTGCACCAATCATTCGCGGATCCCTCCTCAATCTGTCAGGGGCAGACAGCCTTGTATATAAATAGATAGAAAAACAAGAAAAACAAAAAAAAATGCTGGGTGCAAAAGGTACACAAAAAATAGTTGTCGATTCCTTTACACCAGACACCCTTTGCGACACAACAACTAACGTTACCTATCCCCATCGCGGGAGCCGCCTCCACCCCTCCCTCTCTCCAACGAAATGCGAGCCCACGTCGATTTAGTCTAGGACATCTAGCCACCCTCCAACACCGCCCCAATACTCGCGCGCGCCCAAGCTCCTGTCCCCAATCTTGGACCAACTCGACATCACGAACCTCGTCTGCTGCCGAAAAAGAGACAAAGCTCCTCCATCTCGCGCTCTATTAAATGCGGCCGCCCCAATCCGGTCCCCGACGACGTCCGCCCCCGTTCGCCCGCCCGCTCGCCGCCGTCGCCTCCTGGCCGTGACCACAACGGACCAATGTCGTGGGAGCTCCTCCGGCGGTTCTTTGACTCTGATGTCTTCAACTCGAACCCCTTCCTCCCCGTCTCCTACCTGTCGTAAGCATGCATACCCACGCCAGAGCACACCGCCCTCCCCGGGTGTTCCGCAACGTGGCCGAACCGGCCGGCACGCAGCTCCCCCCTTGCTCTCGCTGAACTCTGTGACTGACGGTGCTTTGCTTTTCAACAGGCGCTACGCAGACCATGTAGGCATTCACTACGTACTCTGCAACAAGTTGCGCCAGTTCCCCTACGAGGATATCGAGTTCTTCCTGCCGCAGCTATGCCATCTCATCATTAGCGTCGACAATGAGTCCATGGCGCTCGAGGAGTTTCTCCTCGATCTGTGCGAGGAATCCGTCACTGCAGCCCTGCTGGTATGCCATGCGCCACACGGCTTCCTAGACCTTTGCTACACCGTGTACCTAATTGTGCTTGCAGACCTTTTGGCTCTTCCAAACCTATCTCCACGATCTGTCCTCGAACCCACAGACAACCGCCTTCCAAACCTGCCGTCGAGTCTATAACAAGGTGCAGCACATTGTCTTTGGCCTCAACGATGTCGGCCGCCACGAAAAGATCAAGGAAAACATCCTGCCTGTCACGGTGCTCTCCAGCTTCGTTCTCGCCAGCATCGCCCTGCCCATGATCCCACGATGGGCCGGCCCCCTCGCCGTCGCGCAGGCCCGCAAGCCGCAGCCCGTCACCAATGCCCCATCCGGTGACACGGCCGACGACGCGAAGCCGAACAGGCCGCAAGTAGTGACAGCACTCCACGCGAAACCGAAACGCACCAAGGACACCCGCCACGCGAGCGGAACCAGCGCGCAGCTCGCCTCGCCGGGTCGCGCTGTGGCCGCCAAGGCCATCAGCCAGGCCATCTCGGCACCCCCGAAATCAAGGCTGCAAAAGGAGATGAAGCGACCGCCCCCGCTGGACATGACCCCGAAAGAGGCCATGTCGAGCTCGGCATCGCTTCCCTTGCCTTCACCGCCGCAGACGACGAGGCCGGAGACGCCGCCGCTGACTGCCGGTCTCGCGCCACGCACTCACTCCGAGAGCCTCCTCCGCAGACATTCGCATCACACGAAGAATGCAAAAAATATTGCCGACTTGTCCTCGATACAAAAGACGCGGCTGCTGCGACAACATTACTTTAGATCCCAGACCCAATTTTTGCAAGCCCTCGAGGGCATTTCCAACCGTCTCGTCATCGTACCCAAGCAGGCTCGCATGAGCGCTCTCCGCGCAGAGCTTGCTCTGATAGCGCGAGACTTGCCCGCGGAGATTGACGTCCCCGTCATTTGCCCGCCGACGCTGGTCGACGGCGCGCCAGGCAAGAGCCGACATCACCGCATCGTTCGACTGAACCCGGCCGAAGCAACGGTTCTGAACAGTGCGGAAAAGGTGCCGTATCTGCTCATGGTCGAGGTGCTCAGAGAGGACTTCACGTTTGATCCGGAGACGCCAGATAATCAGCGACTGCTCCCTGAGCTGTTTGGTGTCCGCGGAAACTCGAAGCGCTTATTCGACCTGTCGTCCGAGCTTCCCAAATCCGCACAGGTGACACCACCACCCGAACCCGCGGTGGATAGCGTCTTTGAACCGACCTCTGGCGACCTCGGCAGCTCCAACCTCATCAAAACGCTCGAGGAGGAAGGGCAGCCGCGCGCGGCGCCCAAGCCGCCGTCGTCATACCCCAACCAGCGGCTGTCGAGCGGCGGCACGACGTCGTCCACCACTCTCGATGCCGCGACACCGCGCACCTCGGGCGCCTCGCGTTCACGCTCCAGCAGCCCTGGCTCGCGCCGCAAGATGACGCTGCAAATGAACCGCAACGCGTCGACAGACCAGCCCGACTTTTCGGCCCTCGCGACGCACATGCGCACCGCCTCGCAGATGCTGGCTCAGCTCGACGCCACGAGTGGAAAGCGACCCCGGCAAGAAGTCGCCGCGATCCGCGCCAAAATCATTGCCTCGATGCAGACGCTCGAGGAGCGCAGCTTCGACGCCGACGAGCAAGGGCCGACCTTTGACACCATCATGGCCAAGGCCAGCACGGCCGCCGCCGCCGCCGCCTCTGCATCCGCGTCCACCAGCAACCCGGACCTCGACGAGGACGCCCCCGTGGACACGAACCTCAACGCCAGTGCAGGCCGCGAGCGCATGGAAAACGACTTCAAGACGGGAGGTGTGCAGCGCCGCGGCGACCGCGACGACCCCAGCGCGGCCGTCTTTGGCGAGGCGTGGGAGGCTAAAAAGGAGCGCATCCGCACGTCCTCGCCCTACGGCTGGATGAAGAACTGGGACCTCGTGAGCGTCATTGTCAAGACGGGTGCCGACCTCCGGCAAGAAGCCTTTGCGTGCCAGCTCATCCACGTCTGCCACAAGATTTGGGTCGACGCCGGCGTCGACGTGTGGGTCAAGCTGATGCGCATCCTCGTCACGGGCGAGTCGTCGGGCCTCATCGAGACCATTACCAATGGCGTGTCCCTGCACTCGCTCAAGCGCAGCCTGACAATGGCGTCGGTCGAGGCCGGCACGAACCCGCGGCGGCGCATCGCGACCCTCAAGGACCACTTTTGCAAGGCGTTTGGCGAGCCCGGCGGGCGGGCGCACCGCGGCGGCGTGGACGCGTTTAAGCGCTCGCTGGCGGCGTACAGCGTCATCTCGTACGTGCTGCAGCTCAAGGATCGGCACAACGGCAATGTGCTGATTGACAGCGAGGGGCACATCGTGCACATTGACTTTGGCTTCATGCTGTCCAACTCGCCGGGGTCGGTGGGCTTTGAGGCGGCGCCGTTTAAGCTGACGCACGAGTATGTCGACGTGCTTGGCGGGCTGGGGTCGCCCGACTATGAGGATTACAAGAAGCTCTGCAAGCAAGCTTTCCAAGGTACGCGCGCACTTTTGCATGAAGAATGACGCTGGGAAACAACGCTAACGAATGGGAAATGACAGCGCTCCGCCGATCGGCAGACTACATCATCGACCTCGTCGCCATGATGGGCGCCGAGTCCAAGATGCCCTGCTTCGCCGTCGGTGTAGCCACGGCCACCAGCGCCCTTCGCCAGCGCTTCCAGCTCCACCTGAGCGCCGACGAGGCCGAGCAGTTTGTCGAGACGGACTTGATTGCCAAGTCTTTTGGAAGCTACTATACACGACTGTACGTAACCCGCCCCCGCGGCGACCGCCTTCATCTCATGTGCTTGTTCGTGTGTGCTGACTTATCCATGACAGCTACGACACTTTTCAATACCGAACACAGGGTATCTACTAAGCACATGGCATGGTATGGCATGAATAATGTATTTTTTTTTCTTTTGCCCCGTTCTTTTCCAACGCATCTACTAGTTCTGTTTCGTCATTTTGACAGAATAGCTCAGTCTTTTTTTACTATTATTTTGGTCTTGGGTATATGGAGAAAAGAATTCACATTGTTAGAAGTCGAGGACGGTCATGATTCATCGACACTACGAACAAAAATGAAAAGTCATGAGGAAATCACGCTTCGTGTTGTTCTTCGTGCTGGGATGGGTAGAATAAGGTTATGAAAGGTTAGAGAGGGAGAGATTGGAGGAGATATACCAAAGACTGGAGACGAAAATCACAGGTAGTACACACGCAGGGAAAATGTTGTCGTATTTCTTTTCGTGTCGGGGAAAGATTTGCGCATTAATATGTCATTCTTGATATGAACCAATTTTGGGCTTCCAGCCTATCGATCAGCAGCAAGTTCCTTTTGGTCTCCTAGACGGCCATGTTCCTACCCTCATGCAGTCTTCTTCCACCATCTCTGCGGCAGCCTACGAGCCATCACTCGGCCACTGACGCTGGCCGGTGACTGTTCGCAATCCGTCTCCTTTGCGCGTGCGCGACGCTCGACAAACTTCTTGAATTGCCAGTTTGCCGAATTCTTCGCTTCAGCCAACAACTGCCTGGCCAGAGAAATGGTCTTTGCAAAGAGCCACTCGGCTACACCAAGGAGCGGTTTGAGGAGCAATGCCACAAACAGAGTGACGCCGGCGACGATGGCCGAGGTTTTGATAAAGGCCGCTCTAGTGTCTTCTTCCTGGTTATTCGGTATTGCCCAGAGCGCCTTGACAAAAAAAACATGTCAGCGCAGCTTGGTCTCGCAGCCTTGGAGTGCGGTTGCTACTTACTGCACAGTATGCCAATGGCAAGTATAATAAGTTCACATAGGTGAGCACCATGACGTGTTGTCCTAGTTTGGTAGAGGCCCTCGCTTCGGTAACCGACGCCCATGCAAATTCCTTTCAACAATCAGCTACGCAATTACTGGTCTCAAGGTTCTTGCGAGACTCACCGTTTGCATTAGTTTTTGAGCCGTCTTGATCAGATCCTGAACCAGGCCATCAACAAAGCTTTCCAACTTCTCGACAACATCCGTGAGGCTCTGGGGAGGCTGTCTCGCGGGGTTGACGTCACGGCATCTATAAATGAAGGCCTTGAGCTCACAAACTTGGTTTTTGTACATCTGGCTCCATTGTTCGAAAATGTACGCGTGCTGTGCGAGGAGATGCATCAACGCAGGGTCCTTGCCCTCTGCTCTCAACTGGTCAATACGCTGAATTTCACGTCAGCTGGGCTCATCGGGCGGTTTCCGATGCGACAAAGGTGTCGCTCAACTCACTATGTTGTTCAGATGGTCCTTAGCCTCTTGGCACAACCTCTGCCATATATCTTGCATGTACCGGACCACCCGCTCCATCAGATCGTACTCGTTGTCGGGTATCCAACCATGCGGCATTGTGGTAAAATAGGCCGAAGGTGACCTTTCATTGCCCACCACCCACGTTGATCTGACCCAAGTTACCCCAAATTCGCTCTGGTAAGGACTAAGAGGGTACATGTTGGTGTCGCTCATGTGAAATCGAAATCTGCAGTAAACAGTACACTCATCAGCCTCGAAATCCCCCTGCCGAGGTCCCCAAATTTTTAGTGATTTGCCTTTTGAGCTGGGAAGGAGCTCCCATGAGATATCGTTGTCCGCCCGCCAGTGGTTCATGTTGTTGGACATGCTATCGAACTCTCAGTTGGCTGTCGACGGCGGCACATCCATTGAAGAGGGAACATACACATATTTTACCGCCGTTCTGTCGGCATCCGAGGAACACACTCTGTATCGACACCTCCACTCCGAAGTCATACTCAAAGACACGGTGTCGACTTTCACCAAGCCAGAGGGATATTTGCTGATCACCACGGCCTGGCTAACCTTTGGCCTTAATCCTCTGCGCCATTCCTCCTGTGTAATGCCTTTCGTGGACGCCTGACATTTCAGCAGGAATTCCACCATTGCAGAGTTCGACCTGTCCAGAGCATACGAAAGCGGTGTTTTGCCCCCGAACTCGGTATCGACGTTGTAGCCTGCGAACACCAGTGCTTCGGCTAGCATTTGATCACCCTCGCGGACCAGCCAGCTCAATGAGAACGTGTCCTTGTCAATAAGAAGGCTGACAATGCTATCGTGTTTGTTTTGCAAGGCCAGTAGCAAAGGCGTTCTGAACGATGCATCTAGGCGATCTACTTGAACCCCCGGCTGCCGCAGCAGCCATTCAACCACCTCAACATGTCCATGCTCTGCAGCACCATGTAACGGCGTCTGCCCGAACGTGCCCGTTTGAAGGGCATTGGTCACTCTTTCTGTAATTAGCTGGATAATCGAGAGGTTGTTTGTGCTGGCCGCCAGCCACAACGGCGTACATCCGTTGTCGTCCTTAACGTCGAACTTCACATCCTTGTCTCCCAACAGTAAACTGGCCGCCTGATATTGACCAGTCTCTGCAGCTAGGGCCAACGGTGTTTTACCACTCTTATCCCGATGGTTTCTCAGTACCGCAGACTCTCGAAGAAGCCTCGATACCAGGTCATTTCTACCGCCCTTGGCAGCTAGCGACAGCGGAGTCCGTCCATTCCCGTCAACAGGGTTGAGATTGGCACCGGGATTCTCTCGGAGAAACGTCTCGATCTGATCCACTGTTCCATCTGCTGAAGCTGCAATCTCTAACAAGGAAGCCATATCGTCGGGTTCTGTCTTTGTGTTGCCTCCGGGTCGGACTTTTCGGCTTGAGTATTTTTTCAAAGGTATGTTCTCGGGGGGTTGTTGGGCGGAAGTTTTGGTCTGTCCTTTGCCCAGCTTTTGTGCGGGCTAATACAGCTGAAGCTCCTGCATATGCAGGATTCTCATTGCGATGCAGTTGGTCCGCGAGAGCTGAAAGATCCCAGTCATGTCTTGTCCATTCTATTGGATGAGAAAACGAGGCTGCAGCCAGAAATGATGGACCAATATCTAAATATATCTTCTCGGCGTGGGCCACATGATCTAACGTTACAAATACGAATACTGTTGCCGAGGGTGATAACGCACCATCGCGCGCTGTCTTCCCTCACAGCCGTCCCTTGCGAGCTCGAGCGACGGGATCACAATGGCCATTTCGCTGACCTTACTTGCTCAAGAAACAGAACAAGAAATACTGGCAAGCATGCTCATTCCATGTACCTCTGCCTTAATGCTGGCTGCTTCTCGACAGATTTCTCGACAGATTTTAACCCCGCATGTACCTTTCCCCAGCTTTGATTGGATGACCTCTTCACAGACCTTCCCCAAAGGTGATGGAGGACGAGTTAATACATGTGAATTCAGGAGCAGCTACACACCTGCCTTTCATAGATTGAGGAGAAGCATAAAGAAATAAATTTTGCAACATTCGCTTGTTTCTTTTCCTACGCCGCCCCTTCTCTGCCATATACCAGGCGCCGCCTCACCACAGCCTTGTTGTTACACGTGAACCCTTTTCCTCAACGCCACCGTCTTGACGCGGCCCTTGTTCCCATAGACAAGGAAATAGACACCTCCAGCGTCTTTTCACCTTGCCAGTATCCATTTATATACAAGAGTACAAAAAAACATGAACGGGAGAAAATGGTGACCCGCGCTCGATCACCGAGTCATACACCTCCGCCAACGCCCTCCGCGGCCCAGTAACAGCGACTGCTAGTCGTATCGCCGGCTACCCCCGTCATCATTATCGCCGCCACGGTCCGCGGCGTCGCTGCGCCGGCCCCCGTCCGCTGTTCGCCGGCCCTTGCGGCTCCCCATGCTGTCGGTACCGTCCTCCCCGCCACCGCCGCCGCCTCGGCTGCGTTTTATACCACCGCCGCCGTTACCCAGACCGGCCATGCGCTGCGCCTCCTTGAGTAGGCGTTCGCGGTTACGTGCCTCGCGCTCTAGTGTATGGGGGTCTTTCGTGGCTGCGCCGCCATTGCTCGCCTCTGCCGGCGCAGAGGCGCCGCCACCGTCGGTTGAGTGCTTCCTGTCGTTGTGGCGGCTCTCCCTGTCGCGATCGCGGTCCTTTTGTTGGTCTTTGCGCTCGCGGCGGTCCTTGTCTCTATCACGGTCCCTGTCACGGTCGCGATCCCGGTGTCGGTCACGACGATCACGGTCGCGGTCGCGGTCACGGTCACGGTCACGATCACGATCACGATCACGATCACGGTCCTTTTCCTTGTCTCTGCGCCGCGAGTGGTCATGGTCTCGGTCTCGGTCCCGATCCCGGTCTCTGTGCCTGGTCGACTTCTCATCGCGTTGCTTGTCCTTGTCGCGGTGACGATCCGAGTCTCTCTCGCGGCGGCTGTGGCGATTTGACTTCTTCCCATCCTCTGGGGACGCCGACCTCGAGCGGTTGCCGCCGCCCTTTTCGTGTCGCGACTCGTCGTCGCCATGACGGGAAGAGTGCTTGCGGCCCTTGTTCTTTCTACTACGGCTGTACGAGTCCTCGTCGTACCGGTCGCCATCGGCAGTCTGCGAGCGGTCCCTAGCTCGCCGATGAGAGCTTTTATCTCCCCGGCTGCGACTGCCACTGCGACTATGCCCTCTACTAGTCGCTCGGGATTGTTCCAGGGAGTTGTCGCGTTCCTGTTCACCGTGCGCCGATTTGTGGTCAACTCCATGGGCATCGCGCTCAGTGTCTTCATACTGAGATCTACTCTGGCCATCGGCAGAGCCCTCTGCAATAACATCGCCAACCTGGTAGCCCCTTGCACGGAGATGGTGTAGGCTGGTGTTTGGAAGGCCTTGACGCATAGCCTTCGGACCCGTCGGAGCATTTACGGGCGCATCGGCGGGCTGGCCATCGTCCTTGTCTTGGCTCACACTCTGGGCGTCATTTTGAATGCCCTGTGTAATTGACTGAGCAGAGGGGTCAGCCTGGCCTTGCTGCAACTGGCTTTGGCCATGGTAGTTGCCACCCTGCTGGAAGCCACCACGACCGTATCCTCCATAGTATCCGCGGCCACGGCCACGGCCACGATAATTCTGCTGGCGATAGTTATTATATTGGCCATAATTACCTTGACTGTAGCCTGTCTGGAAGCCAGAGTTAAAGTTCCCAAAGTCACCAGTGTTCACACCAGCGCCATTTTGATTGAAATTATTCTGGTCGAAATTCCATGACTGAGAACCGTTCCAGTTATTATCGTAGCCGCCTCCAAGCCCTCCCATGCCGTTCATGCCCATGCCTTGAAAGCCTCCATTCATAAACATGTTTTGCATCATAGGATCCATGTTCATGGTCGGCATACCTGATACATGTGATGTTAGCATTGAGTCTTGTTGTAAGTCCGCTTGGTTTCACATACCCATCATCGGAAAGCCCATGTTGTTTTGCATGGCCATCATCATCTGCATTTGGTTAAAGTCGCCACCCCCGGAATACATCTGGTTCGAAAACCCGTTTCCGTGTGGCACCTGCCCGCTGCCATTTCCGCCATCTCCCTGGCCATCTTCCTCCGCATATTCTGCCTCCTCAATTTCCTGAGGTGGTTGCTCCGGCCGCTTCGTGGTGATGATGACATCGTCATCGGAATCTTCGTCCGCGTCGTCGTTGTCTTCTTCTTCGAAGTTGTTGGCCGCGCTAGCTTCCGCTTGCTGGGCATCAGAGACTTCACACTGCTGCACGTTAAGTGACGGTCAGCATAGTACCAGAGGGACTAAATGCATTCAAGCTTACCTCTGTATCACCCTGTGCCACGTCAGAAGCGGGTACTGTTGAGGGTTCGACGGCTGCAACGGCCAAGGCATGCGCTCCTGGGGTTCCATTCGTAGCCTCTCCGTCAGCGCCTGTTGACCGGCCGTCACCTGAGTTTGGCACCGGAGCGGCTTCGACAGGGGTTTCGGGAGTCGACTCTGAAGTAGCCTTAGGCTTGGTTGCCTCTTGCTTCCTTTCTTCGGTACGAAGAAAGACCTTTATCGTCGTACGCAGTGACTTGTTTGGTGTGCAATCATCGGCGGAGAGTGGCGAGTGTTCGCAGAGAGGACAAGACGAAGGGAGACTCGCATGACCTGAGATGTTAGTATCGCGGCATTTGTTCAGATTGTAGGTACTCACATGATTCGCAAATTGCTTGTTCACAGCAGGGTGAGCGGAAAGCGTTGACAGCAAGCTTGCTACAATTCGCACATCGCAGTTTATGGGGAATGTCATCGGGAGTCAGGGAGCTATTGCAAGTTAGTGGCGATCAATGAATCCATCTTGTCCAAGGGCCTACCTGATAAGCGCAGCCTGTGCCTCAGTGATAGACGATGCCATGTTGCTTCGATGAGGTGGCTTCAGATATTTTGCGCCGTGCTCGAGATGGCAGTGAAAACAGACAAAGATTCTTTATAATGATAGACCCAAGGCAGAGGAGCCATGAAGGTAGGTATAGAGCCCTCTTTATAGGCACATGAGATTGGTGGTACAGAAACAATCGCCGAAACTTGGGCACGGGAAAATTGATGGTTGGCCTGCAAACACATTTAGAGGAGTTTGACGCGGTACAGACTTAAAGTGGACCTGTAGTGGATGGGTTGTAGATTGGCTTTGGGAAAAGTCACACCAGTCACGTGCTACCCTCTTACACGGCTGTGGGCGGCCGGAAAGCTATTCTCCTGGGTTTGGAAGGCGCTTAGCGGTGAGAGAGCCGATGAATTGATTGTATCTGAATGATATTGACAGTGTGGTATGTCTGTTTTTTTGCGGTTGCCCCCAGCTCATCGTTGACGTCTTCTGTGTTTTAGCACACTCGATACTGCTCCACCTGCCCTCCAATGGATGTCGACTGAGTCTCTTTCCCTTGAATTAAATAGGTAGCTTTCAATTCGTTTGTTTCGGTGGGTTGGGTGCACTGAAAACAATAATACCCCCTTGTCCTCACGTTCAACAGAAGTACTGCATGTTTCTGTATCCCGCTATCTCATTTGCGAGCAAAAAATTGGCCACAACCAGGCTCCGATCGGCACAAATATTGTATCACACAGTGAATCGAGCTTACGCCGTCACGTTGTACTGTTACATACACTCCGTATATCGGCCGCAGGCAATTGGAATAAACGTCGGCTCCCTGTACCGAGCTAAGTGGTTCAACATCTAAGGTTAGTAGGGAAACAAGGTCAACTAAATATACTCATGATTCCGTAAAATTATAAATCGACTCCAAAGGCACGCGCTGAGGCATCATGGTCTGACCAATGAACAAAGCTGGGCAATAAACGACGTCGTGAAACAAGGCATGCTGTGAACAAATCCGACTTCTTAACAAGCACATCCATCCTTCGACCCGGCCTCTTGCGGGTTTCCGAGATTGACCCTCTGCTCCTCCCCGGGGCGACTGGCTGTGTTGTTGGTAGTACCGGCGCCGCGGGCGCTCTTTAAAGACGTCTCCGGGATCGCGTTGGCAATGGCTGTGAACACCTCCGTCACATTCACGCCAGTCTTGGCACTGGTCTCAAAAAAGAGCAGGCTCTCGTCTTCGGCGTAGGTCTTGGCTTCTTCTGTGGGTACCTTGCGGGCGTCGCCCGAGTCGTCGCCGTCGTCGCCGTTATCACCACCAGCAGATTCGCTGGCCAGATCGAGTTTGTTGCCGACAAGCGCAATCACAATGCCGGGAGACGCCTGTCGTTGCAGCTCAGCGACCCAGTGCTTAGCTTTGATGAGCGATGTGGGTTTTGTGATGTCGTAGACGACCAAAGCAGCCTGGGCATTTCGGTAGTACATGGGGGCAAGGGAGGCGAACCGCTCCTGGCCGGCGGTGTCCCAAATCTCGAACTTAATTGTCCGCGTAGGAAGATTGCATTTTTGAGTCAGGAACGCCGCTGTTGAGTACGTTAGGACTGTAAATGAGCATAAAGGACATTCTCACTCACCACCGATAGTGGGCTCTTTATTTTCCTGGAAGTCGTTGTTGACGAAGCGCAGGACCAAGGAGGACTGCTCGACAAATTAGCGGACAGAGTCGGCGACGAGCGGGTTCTGGAATAGTGACCTTTCCCACAGCAGCCTCACCGAGAAGCACCAGCTTGACGCTGCTGCTAGGTTTGGGGCCGTTCCCAGTATCAGCCATCGTTGCGGGATGATCCGGCGAGCGGGCAAATGTATCGGGTCGCCTGAGCGTAGGAGTGAAGCTAAAAGCGAAGACGTTTTGGATTCGTGGCTGCTGTTCAGATGAAGATGCGCAGCCGTAGCAAGGACAGTCTATCGTCCAAAGTCGTCGATGTTGCTGGATAGGACAGGTAGGGGTTGGAGCGATGACGACTGAGTGTTTTGCGCTGGGCCGTCCTACAAGCGGCTGGAGCTGGCAGAGACCCAGCCACAGGTCACCGCCACAAGGGTGGCGGGGCAGAAGCTTTTGAGGCCTCGGCTAAAAGTTAGCCCAGTACCGTCCTAACAAGTGCGCATGCATCCTGGCCCCGCCAAAAAGTTTCAAGCGGCAGAAAAGAACAACAGCAAAAAACCCAAAGCGGTGGGTAAAGTAGATGAGAATCAAGCAAGCTCTCACTTTCAGCAACCCAACGCTCCGGCGCGCAATACCGTTCTGCAATTCGATTTCCAGTGAAGGTTAATTTGCATCGATGTCGTCTTCGAAGGGCTCCAAAGCGGCCAAGCGCAACTTGCTCGACGACACCGATTCCGAGTCCGAGAATGGCGGGGCCACTGTCGAGTCCGGCTTTCAAGTAAACGAAGACTTCGCTCGTCGATTTGAACACAACAAGCAGAGAGAAGAGAGACAAAAACGCACGTCTTTCAGTTCTTTAACCAGGAGCGTACTTTGCTGACTGTTATTCAGTCGAAGAGAAACTCAATAACGAGGACGACGAAGACTCCTCCGACAGTGAGAGTGAAGACGAGAATGGCTTCCTTGCCACCGAAGATCTTGACGCCCAGATTTCCGCTACTCTTCAAGCAATCAAAAACAAGGACCCGCGAGTCTACGATAAGGACCAGACATTTTACAAGCCTGACGAGGAGACCGCCGACGCCAATAAGGACAAACAGGACAAGCAGGACAAGCCTGTCTATCTCCGCGACTACCACCGAGAAAAGATCCTACGGGGAGATACGGGGGCTGACAACGAAGATGAGCAGCCTCAGACATACGATCAAGAGCAAGAAGCGGCCAAGAAAGACTTCCTTTCCGGAGTCAACAACGCCGCAGGGGAGATAGACTCGGACTCGGACTCAGACGACGGGTTTATGATCAAGAAGAAAAAGTCGACAGATGCACCGGTCAAGTCCTCCAATGGCATTCACCCCTCCCGGTCGACGAAAATCAAGGTCTCCGGCGCCGATGTCTCCAGCGCTGATAAGGACCCCGAGACTTTCCTGTCCAACTTCATGGCCGCCCGCGCCTGGGTCGAAGAGGAAGGCGGCCGCTGGAAGGCCTTTGAGTCCGACGACGGCGAAGACGACGACCGCGCCGACGAGTTTGAGCAGGCGTACAACCTGCGCTTCGAAGACCCCGCGAAGAGCCGAGAGGTGCTGCGCTCGTACGCGCGCGACGTCACCAACTCGCGCTCCGTGCGGCGCGACGACGCCACCGGCCGCAAGCGCCAGCGCGAGCTGGAGCGGGAGCGCAAAGAAGCCGCCAAGGCGGAGCGCGCCGAGGAAAAGGCGCGCCGGCGCAAGCTCAAGCTCGACGAGGCCGAGAAGAAGCTGCGCAAGATCAAGCAGGCCGCCGGCGCCGTCGGCAAGGCGCTGTCCGACGAGGAGTGGATGAGCTTCCTCGACGGCGCGTGGGAGAATGATAACTGGGAGGCGGAGATGCAGAAGCGCTTCGGCGACGACTACTACGCCATCCGGGACGATGCGGCCGCCAGCTCGGACGACGAAGCAGCTCGGACGTCGTTCAAGAAGAGCAAGCCCAAGAAGCCCACGTGGGACGACGACATTGACATTGAGGACATTGTCCCCGAATTTGAGAGCGAAGTGGCCAAGGGCAAACTGGCCCTCAGCGACGCGGAAGAGGAGGCCGCGGAAGGAGACGAAGAGGACGACGAGGCCGCTCCCGCGAAAAAGAAGCGTAAGACGGCCGACATCAAAAAAGAGCGCATCGAAACCCAGAGAAAATCAAAAAAGGAGCGCGCCAAGCTCGAGGCCCTCGTCGAGACCCAAGTCGAGCTCACCTCGCACGACCTCCTCCGCTCCTCCACCTCCACCTTCCGGTACCGCGAGACGTCGCCCCAGTCCTTTGGCATGACGGCGCGCGACATCCTCCTCGCGCCGTCGGACCAGGTCCTCAACGACTACGCCGGCCTCAAGAAGCTCGCCTCCTTCCGCGACCCCGAAAAGAAGCGCCGCGACCGCAAACGTCTCGGGAAAAAGGCGCGTCTCCGCCAGTGGCGCGCCGACACCTTTGGCCGCGACTACGCCACCACGGGCCCGACGTTTGGCTTTGAGCGCTACGCCGAGGCCCACGAGGACGAGGAGCAGCAGCAGCAGCAGCAGCCGTGGAGGAAGCAGAACACAGGGGACGAGGCAGGCGGTGAGCAGCAAGCGTTGCCGGGAAAGAAGAAGAGGAAGCGGTCCAAGAACAAAAAGACGGCCGAGGCGGAAGCATAAACGCCCCCCCGTCTGCAGGTCTGCGCTCTCGTTTCCTTCTTGACTTTTTTTTTACCGTGTTTTACCATGAATTTTTATCCATTCCGGGGTGTTCTGTTCTCACTCGATGGGACGAGGGGTTGTACATAGCAGAAAGAAGAAAAGAATTATCATTACACAGGCGCATCAAGAATCCAAAATTTACTCTCTCATCTCTTCTATTGACGACAAGCCACACATAGCAAACTCAGCATATATTCCACGAATTAGAGAAAACTTTCCTCGAGTGTCGAAAAAGTCTCTTTGTGGTATTTATTTATATCATCGTAACCTTTGCCAAGTCTCCGAGACCATATTCCATCCCCCGTCTCTCGGGTTCATTCCCTCCTTCCCTCTTCTTTGAAATTTCATTAGTATATAACAGGTGAAAAAAAAACAGGAATTCCGACCCCACAACCTCCCTCTTTCTTCTTCGAAAAGTGACACTCCAGAAATTCGATAAACCGCCTACCCATAACCAAGGCGCAAGGGTAAAGCGAAAGGTTGTAACCGCGCGACAAACAAACAAACAAACCCAGCAAAAACCAACTAAGGAAGCCACGCCAAAAGCTCCAACACAAAACAGACTCCCTGCCCAAAATCGCGACTATAAATACCCGCCAGCAATGCTCTCTGTAATAATATAGGTGTTCCAAGGGAAAAAAAGTCAAAAATCAGCAACAGGGGAATAATTTCTGTAGTCGAGACCATTTGTCTCATTCTATTGACATCCGGGTCGCCAAAGCATGTATGATGTATTCTTTACATGCCATGCTGTAGCCCACCACCCATGTGGTTCTGCTGGGGCATGCCGCTGCCGTTTCCAGGATTGCCATTGCTGCCACCAGCAAACATGCCGAAATTGTCCATGCCATTGCTGGCCATGTTCATGTCTTGATTCATCTCGGCTGGCTCCATTTCGTAACCCATAAACCACGAGCTATCGGGTGCAGAGTTGAAGATATTCATCGTCGGCGCCGTCATAGGGTTCTGCTGCTGAGGTGGGTGTCGTTGTTGGTGCAGGGCGCCCTCCGCGACCTTTGGCACCGTTGTTGAATTTTGGCGCGAGTTATGTTGAGCGCCGTTGGGCATGCCCTGCCAGCCGTTGTTATTTTCTTGCGGGTGTGCGTTCATACCACCTGGCACGATACCAAACATTTGCTGGGGGAGCCCGGCGTCTTGCCCTCCCATGCCGAGGGGCACGATATCGGCAAAGAAGGGCATTTGTGGTTGTGGCTGGTATGGCGCCATATTGTTGGGGCTGATAGGCGACATGGTCGCCATGTATCCCTGCGCCTGGCTGGGCATGCTGTGTGTGCCAAATGTCATGGGTGGCTGCGTATTACCTGGGTTCGAGAATTTGCGCTGGTCGATTTGTAGACGAGGGGTGCCACCAGATTGGTCCGAGACTCTGCGAGGAGTAGGCCCTATCGAGGCTTGTCGCGCCTCTGGGGTTGGATGATCGAGCTTGCCAGGTGGTGTAACTCCAGCAGAATTCTTTTTTGGCGGGATAGTCTTTCGCTTTTGCATCGGCGTCCTGCTAGGGTCCTTGCCATCTGCAGTATGAGAAACAGGAGAAAGATTGTCCAGAAATTCTCCAACGGAATGGAGCTCTGGCTTTTGTTCCAAAACAGCATCCTCTCCCCCCTCGGCGCGTCTCGGCAGGTTTGGGTCCATGAAGTCAACATTGGAAACACCGGAAGGGTAGCGATTAAACCAATCAGCGTACTGCAGCAGCGGCTGCCGATTCTGTATGGCCCCGTTCATGCCAGGGCGGCGAGAGGCGTCATAGGCGTTCTTGTATTGGCGTCGAATGTCGTCAACCATCCAGTGAAACATTCCCCAGTATTTCATCATCTTCTTTAGGTACGTGATGTTGATGGCAAGGTGGACTTCGGCGGCTGCTTTGAGCTTTGGGTTTCCGGAGACCATACCGTAGATCTGCACAGACGAAGAAGAAAATGCACAGTATCCTGCAAAAGGCGCCGTCACAAAGCATTGACGCTCATCGGCGTCCTTTAATAGTTGAGAGATGCTGTTGGCTGCGTGAAAGGTCTTTCCGGTCAGGCGAGCGATAAAATCCTTGGGCGCGTCCGTATTGGACTGGTTACTGCTCATAGCTGCTTGACAAACATAGAGTAAGCACTGATGTATAGTCATGTGCATGAATAGGTACTGCGTAGCGGTCCTCTCGGTAATGTGTAGCTCAAGGTTCTCTTTGGTGTACTGTAATTGAGCGGGCAGAGTACGGAGTAGCTCCTCGACATCACGCACGAGCTGTGAATATTGCGAGCGGTCAGCCCACTGGGGAAACTCTTCTCTATCCTTGCCGCCATGGTTGTAATAGGTAACAACACGGCCCCATAGTGCAAGGCCACGGATGAAGAAAGCAGATGGTCCCATGTTGCTGCGTAGATCGGTGTCTGGCGCTTGACCCTCCACGGCCAGTGGTCCTGGCGTACCATCGAGGAGTTCTGTCTGGGCGGGCATGTCGAGTTGAAAGCAACGCTCACTCACAGGGAGGGGAATGGTGAGAGAGTCGTCTGATATAAACATGGGCCGGTCTGTGCCAGATGAAGTAAAGCGGTCCATGAGAAAACAAGCCCACATGAGGCGTCTCCGAATCTCTCGATCCACAAAACTGAGAGGCGCCTTTTGACCTTTGCTCTGAGGATCATGGTCGAGGTCCTTGTGCAGCTGAAGAGCGTAGGCCATGCGAATCGCTTGCCCCCCGAGTGCCCAACTGCGACCACCATGACATGTACCGAATTCATGAAGCCCCAGAATGATGAGACATGTCAAAACCGTCATATTTGGCCACTCATAACGCTTCGTGCATATGTCTCTTGCGGCCTGGGCCCATTCCTCTCCTCGAAGAAACGGCCGCGTTGTGACTGGAAGTTTGGGGTTCGTTGAGAACCTGGCGGATACAGCGCAAACGGACAGCACAAGAACTGGGGGTAGAGAATTGCTCCTATAAGTGTCACGTTAGTGCGATTGTCGAGCTTGTTTTAGTTTGGGTGACTAACTTTAACTTGCGCATAAAGCTTGGCTTGTGAAGTAGGTGGTAGGCCTGTCCGTAAACGCTATCAAAGAAGACCTCGGCGAGGTGTTGTTGAATTTCTTTCGAGGGCAGAGCCTCGATGCCTTCGCGGAGCAGCCTGTTCTCTTCCTTGTCATGAGAGTCGACGGCCATAGGAGGACTGTCGCCGTTGCCAATTTTGGATTTTGAGGGTCCATTTACCCAAGACTCAAGCTCTGGAGAAAAGGCTTCATCGGCGCGGCGTTTCTTGGCGGCGGCCTTGTTGGCGGCGGTGGTGCCGGGCATGGCAGGTTTGACCACGGCACGAGTGACGGGAGAAAGATTGTCCTGGTCAGATTTGGGTACAATCTTGATGATGCGCTCCTCCATACGCTTGAGACGCTTGTCAAGCATAGCCATGTAGTCGGTGCGAGGTGCAGCTTTGCGACTGGTTACCTTGTAGACGCAAGGTATCCGGGAGCGGAGGCAGTGCTTGCAGGCAGGCTTCTCGCCGGAGCAGCGGATTTTTTTACGGCGACAGGCAATACAAGCCAGGGGCAGACGTTTTCGGTCCTTGCCGGCCTTTGTCTTGAGCTCGCTCCAAGCAGGTGTCTCGGTCTTGTCGATTTTGCTCTTGCCGAGATCAGTTCCGTCGGCGCGGCCTGCACCGGATAGGCCAAAGTCGTCATTTGCGCTTTCTCCGACTGAATTGTGACTAGGGGATTGCCTGTCCATCGAAGCGTTTTCGTCGGGGATGGTGTCGATGCCAGGTGTAGCATAGGCGGAGGGATCCACGGCAAAGCCCGAGGTGGGAGCTACAGTCAGCGAGTTCATGCTGGCACCGCTCACCGAAGCAGGGGCCATTGAAGAGTGAAGAGAGAAATGATCGGAGCCAGAAGGATCGTCAAAGGCGGAGGCCGACTGGTCCGGCATGCCCGACATGTTGGCGTAGGCGAAGGAAAATTCATTAAACTGAGACGGATCCATGGCGGAGGGGAAGGGGCTTGCGCTGTGGCCAGACTGAGAAAAGGCGCGGTCGTCTATGCCCGGTTGCAGATGTGAGTCGTTTGCAAGATGGGGGTGGGCAGCATGCTGAAAATGTGGCGGAAGGTTGAGCAGAGGCTGGCCAGCGGACATGTTGCCGTGCGGCAGCGGGGAGAGGCCACTGGTGCCCCTACCAGAGCGGCAGAAGCTTGCGTCTATGGCAACAGCAGCAACAGGTAGCGCGGAAGGCCAGGCTTGTTATCTGTACGTCGCCGAGAGCGAGGCCAAGGATGGAGGCGAGGATTCAAGAGTCGTCTGGACGGGCCGGGCGAGACGCGGACAAGATCGATCGGGTAGTGCAAAAACGGGCGCAGGCGGAGGCGCGAGCGGATGGAGCGGTCGGCAACTGCGTTCAAATGACGGAATGGGCAGCTATCAACAACGGCTAGGCGCAGCGAGTATTGAAACTGTTGTAGGACGAAGGGTAAAGGCGGCGAGCGGTCAGCGGCTTTTTGAGGTATCGGTGGACGGCCGGAGGGCGGGCGTTTGGCAGCGAGACGTAAGCTGGGGTATCAAGGGTCGCAGAGGAGCCGCAGTGCAAGTAAAACGAAAGGCCGCCGACTTCTGTGATGGGAGTGAAAAGGATATAAATAGTCGACAGGCGACGAGTGAAGACGAAAGACAGAAAATGGCGATGGATAATGGCGGAGGTGTGGTGAGAGGAGGTCGGAGGGGTGAAATAGTATTATTATAAGAGCAAGATGGGATGGGGGAGCAATGGGTGGAGAGTCGAGACAACGCTGAGCAGCGGGTAGTACATAGGTAATAGCGAGGGGATTGGTGTGTGGACGAGGGCACAGAGGTGGGCGTGGGCGTGCGTGGGCGTGGCTTGATATGGATTTGATGGGCGCAGAGGATTTGTAGGAGGGTAGGCAGGCAGGTTGCAGGCGGGTTGTAGTGGTTGTTGTGGTTGTGATAGTGGTGATGCTGGTGGTGCTAAAGAAACTTGGAGGGTCCTACAGGCTGTGGCCAGGTACTAACAGAAGCAGATTGGCAGGCGGCTCGTCTGGCGTTGCTGGCGTCGTCCTGCTGTGGGTTTTCGGGGTGTGGCGGGTGGAGCTTCCTAGACCGGTGGTCCGCAGCCTGTCTCTCGCTGAGATGGCGTACCGAGTACCTACCTAGGGTACGGGGAGTTTCCCGGATGAACAAGAGGTGAGGAACTCTGGTGGTAACGTTATTTGCCGGGCGAATCCTCGACCAAGGAGGGGCGGCACAAGGCTCTCCATGATATCGATGCTCTATCTGGAACCGCAACGGCGAACAGCTTGCTCCCCAGCATGACCTGGCTGCCTCGACCAATAGCTAGAGGTACCGGTCGAGGTGAGTCCAGCCAGAGCCAGGTAGTAGAGGCGGAGAAAGAGGAAGCACCCGCCCGTTGGCGTGCATGTCTGGGGGGGGGGCGTCAAAGGACAAAAAAAGTCGCAGCCAGTCGCAAGAGGGGCACATACAGACATGGACAAGGCTTCATTCATCAAATGCTCCTCCCAACCCACCATGTCCGCTGGGATTTGCTGGGGTCAAACAAGGTTTTTTTTTTTATTGCAGGCATACTGGGAGTTAGCTACCTATGTAGGCATTGGCAGCCAAAGCTGGCATGGGGCGAGGACGAGGGTGCAGGAGGAGGGGCGCGCCGTCTGTGATGATGGTACTGGTGGCGTGGGACAATGGCGTCGTGGTAGCGCAGGGATGGGGGGCGCTATGTACCGAGTACCTGTATGGGCGCATTGAAAGTCGAAGTTGACAGCCCCTGCGCAACTGCGGACTTGTTGGCGCGGTTTTGGTTGTTTATTGGAGTCAAGCGAGTGTATCAAAGTCAACGCATCGTGTCTTGTGTGCATGTGGTGTTGTCGTGTAAGACTCGAGGCCGCCAAAAGAGAGACAACGGTAAACTGCCCGAGATGATGGCCAGTACCTGGTACTAGGTACGGAGACTAGGTCGTCAGTTGTCACATTCTTGAAGAGCATCCCAATCTGTCCATCTGCAAAACATCTCGCTACCCAAGCAGCGAATCCCTCTCAGATGGCCGGCGCGGGAAGGGTTTGTCTGTCAGTCTGCGTAAGCCGTAAACAGGATGGCTGCACGCATGATGCAGAACCAAAGAAAAAAAAAACCTGCCAGCTGCCAAGACTAACGGGTGATTCGCAACTTCCTATTTCCCTTGCACGGATATTACCTCGTGCATTGTCAGAGAAGGCAGTGTGCTGGATCAGTGTGGGTGGTGCGAGAACGGCCTCGATACCTTGCTACTCGCTACGGCGTGCTCGGTACGAGGAGGTACCTCGCTACCTACCAACTGGTAGACGGTAACGATAGTAACCTTGTCCTTCCTCTTTCTGCCCCCAAAAAAGCAGCACCCTGTGGACCCCGCAGAAGCGCGGCAGCCCAGCGCTAGCTAGGGAAACCCTGGGCACTAAAACAGCAGCCTGCAAAGGGCAAAAAAGTATGGATGGCTTCGTTCAGCGCTTGAGAGTGCCGTAAAGGCTATAAGTTCGGATGCTACGGACAAAAGTCAAGATGCGGGACCTGGCAGCCCAGCAAGCACCATCACTGCTTGCACAGCAGGATGCGGCTGCGCTGGCGGGTTGGCTGGGCTGTGCTGCCCATTCATATTTTCGACCTGCAAGCTTGGTATCGACGACTGTATCGATCAGTAATTTGTACTAACTAGGTACTGTCCTACAAGGTGCGCGAAGCGACTGTTGAATACTAGTGTTGAATAGAGTGGGCAAGCAAGTACCTGGGTACCTTACCTACCTAGTATCCAGACTTACACTAGGCCGGATTGTGGGGCACCAGGACGCTCAAAAAGGCACTAAAAGAGTAAAACTGCATGGCCCTACCTCCCCTGTCTGTGGAGCCTCCTTCTAGTTAGACATTCCCCCCAGAAACTTTGCATTTGCATTTCCAAGGGTTGCGTGCCCCCTCACACTTCACTGCCACTTCTTGTCGTGCCTGTACAAGATGACAGGACTGGCTGGCTCAGGGTCGAGGCTCCCCAGCCCCAAAGCAGGACCTCGCCATCCCCATCCGCCCATACGTCAACGCCTTGCCCCTCTCCAGCCAAGCCAGCACCGATTTAGCAGGCCGCGGTGGATGCGCCCACTGTCTGCGCCTTGCCTTGGGCAGCTTGCACAACGAACGGAAAGGTGAACGGATTAGACCATAAACTAAATAAGTAAAAAGCAACTAGACAGGGAGTTGGTGTTGACGAGGTGGTTGAAGAGCAACATGGCATCATGGAGAAACAATAGCCCAGTCTCCCCGCCGGCCCGCGTGTCCTAGGCGAATCCAGCAAAAAGAAAACCCCGAATTGGCAAAGGGACAAAAAAATGTCTTGCAACGTCCAACTACGGATACTTGGCCAGCGCCTGCAACCCGTTTACCCGAGCTCGGCGTGGCGGCGTCTTCCCCCAACTTGACCACGCACATACCACCAGACAGACAACTCCATCTCAGTATCCAAAAGCCGATCAACAACTACATCCATCGATTCATTCATTCATTCCTTGACTACCTACCCAGTCACGTCGATCAACTAAATTTAGTCAACTCGTCAACTTGAAACTGAACCACCCCAGTGCCCGGAGATTCTTCGCCTTCTTTTATTATTCCCCTCGCACGTTGGGCTAGAACCAGCAGGCTCCCTTCTAGCGCTCTCGACTAATACCGCTAGCTTAGAGATGGCGTCCGTTTTTTGAGTGTGTGCGTGTCCATCATTAAACAGCCCAGCGCGTAGTTAGGTGCGCTCATCTTCTCATTGCTGGTCCTAATCCTAATACTACGAAAAATTGTGAAGAAGAAAGAATTGGATCAAACACACGAGGCACGCGCATAGAAGAACTCAGTGATTGATTGCCTGCCACCCAACTAACTATTTTGAGTCCACGTACTTGATAAAATTCTGTGTCATGATTCGGTGCTACCAATGCATCATGCAGCCGGTCAGCCACGGCGCAACGCCTTCTGTGGTACAACCTCCCCCAGCTTTTGCACAGGTACCTCGGTACCTGCGCGCCGACTACCTATGTACCTAGGTATCTCTGTAATCTGTACAGATGAACTAATCTGTACTCTGTATTAATTCGTACTGTTGAGCTACTTCCTTTCTGCGCATCTCCTCAGTATTGCCAGTCGGTAATAGGCGCGTAGGCATCATGCTGTGTCCATCCAACGACACCAACATCGCCATGCAAACGCTCCTTCTACAACCTCTCAACTTGAGCAGGAGCACCAACGTCGACCCAACGAAATGAGCATCCGCTCCCAAATTTCAGATTGACAAATTTATCATCTTCCGCCCTTCACCCCATCGGACATTTCGACCATCACACCTCCATGTTGGTTGGCCTCATCCTTGGCAGGAATAAGCCACACTATCCTCCATGGGTCCGCCACCAATCTACTTCCGTCCATCTTCAATGAAGTAACGCGACACCTTGTGCCACAACCAAGAAACCGCCCATCTCGTTCTACCAATATTGATTTCAAGTCTTCTGTCATGCATGACCGCACTGCCATGTGGCAGCGAGCCAGTTGAGAATGGTCATCTAAATTCCCAAATAGCAAATCCGCCTAGCCAAATCGAACCGGAGAAAAATTAGCAGCCAAATTCGACCAAAGCGTTAGTTAGTACAAAGCATCGTCAAAATACACACGTGCGCCGTCTGGTGACTGACTGGATATATATATCACGCGGACAAGCTTCGGATGCTGCCCGCGTATGCATGCCATCCTTCAAGCCTCGACATCTGCAACTACATCACATCGTGTCCGACGTGATTCAAGCCGCCGCCTTCCCGCACACAGGAAGCCATCCTGGCTCCAGGGGTAGAATACGCCGCTATCCCCAGCGTTGCATTGTGGCGCTCCTAGATCCCATCAAAATGTCGCTCATCATCCGTCTTGTGGCGTGCCCGTCTCGACGCAACCCATCGGATACTACTGGGATTGCTGGCTAATCGTCGACTCGTCGTACAGCGCAAGCACACCTGCAGGCTGGGGATCCCCAACCCAGATCTATCCAGGCAAGCCGGGCCTCCTGCTAGCCAACGTTCCAGGGGTAAGGACCAGCGCCGTCACGCCCTGGCCACCTTGAAAGTTGCCACTGGCATTGTCTTTCTTTGACTCTAGTTTTGAGACATCCTCCGCCAGTGTGGATATCCCTTTGCTCTCCCCGCTTTTGGACGGAGTAGTCTTGCGGTAACACGGCGCTCCGAGGCCGCCGCCCACCTGCTTCGTCCTTGATGTACGAATAATTCGTGCAGAGTACAGATTACGGATACGGAGTATAACACGGCGAGACATCGTGTCGATCACTGGCGTGAGTTGAGAAGGCGTCGAATTGCAAAAGATCACAATCACCATAACCGATACCCGACACCGATAACCGTTGTGATGATGCCAGAGAACAACAGTCATTCAAACAGCACAGCCAAGACTTAATCGAACAATTCAGGCTATTACCTGACCTCGAGTGGATCTTGACTGAAAACTGCAGCTGCAATATAACTACGGGATTGGCAAGCATGTATAATTGACGGCCCTCGTAGAAGATGCAAATATGTCGCTATATGGAGCAAGTCGGACGCTCCAAACCGAGTCAGTTCCCTCCATCACCATCCCACAACCAATCAACCAAACAACCACACAAAGGCCCGACGGGTACTAACATGGGCTGATGTTGAGCTGGCCCCATCCATCCTCGGTCTGTGTTGCAGAATTTGCAGTGCCAGACCTGATCAGTAGCACTGGTTAACAAGCTGTCCGCCTACCTATGTTGCAGCCTTAGATACTAATTACCAGCCACCATCGCGCGACGCGTACCAAGCTCAAGATAGCGGGCGGTCGTCGAGTCCCGCTCCTGCCCAACGGGGCATATCCACCAAAAGTCGTATGGTTCTTGGCTTGTTGGGGGGTAGCCGGGGTTCGCCTGTCAAGAAAAGGACTCTCCAACGACTGCTATTAATAATGCTATTCTTCGGTCTCGTAACGAGCATCTGGACGACCACAAATCGAGGAGTGCTTTGTTGCCATCGCCGACTCCACCTTTTAAGCAGCCCGTGATCATCCCGCCAATATTATGTCTGCAGCCTTTGCTCATCAGCGATGCATGACTCTGGCGGATAAAGAGGCGCTCTAAGGACGTTAGCGCAGCCTCGGGGCACACTCCATTGCATCCGTGCCAACCATTGAGACAAAGCCGTTGGCTCTGGTAACTACTGATAATGTGACTACCACAAACTGCTGAGGATGCCTCAAACTCCAGCGCGCTACAGTGAGACATTCCCCTGAGTTAGCATCGCTAGCGGGGCTTGCTACGACCCAGAAAGCTGACCTCGTGGAGAAAGTTCAAAGCAGGATGCAAGAGCAGTCGGTTACGAAGTATGCTTCGTCGCTCCACGCAAACTCGCAGCGGCCCCAACAGAGGAGCGTTGGCTAAGTAAGAGGGCCTATTCATCGCCAGGCCCTGTGGCTACTGCCTGTGTCATTCGCAACCTCCGGAGAACTCAATTTTACTGTCAGGCTCGGAACCAGCCTTGGGTTGTGGGAATTTTTCCAAGGATAACGGCAGCTTCCGTCATTTAGATTGGGTTGCACATATCTATCTGGATTATGCACCCACAGATTACTCCTCAAAATTAGGCATGCACTATTTTTGGACAACCCTGTCACATTGCTTGTTTTCGTCTTTCTCTTTCTTTCTGCCACAGTCAAACAGCCGCAGCATCCAGCTTCTCATAGACTATACAGGCAGATCCCCATCACAGCTTGATCCTAGCAGCGAACTATGCAACAAAGTTACGAAGCTGGGAGCCAAAGCCGAGGAGCCCATTCTCCACTAGATCGGGAAACCAGCCAGGATACTTCCTTGGATTGTTACTCTGGAGCCATTGCAGGCTCACGTCCACTCAAGCCGAGGTCAAAGCGCGGGGCCGTTGACAGGAGTGGCCAAGTCAACTAACGACGTTCCAGGTCATGATTGGCTGCCTTCTTAGAGACAACAGCTTCAATCAGAGAATGGGCTGCAGTTCGTATAATTTTACTACCTATGCAGAAAATGATGAGGGCTGACAAAGTACACGGTCAGCAGCAATCGCTCCAATCACAAGTTTATGGCTCGTGCCTCATTCCCTCGCTATTTACAGCACGAATTCTGAATGGCTGGGGCTTGTCACGGAATTACGGTGATCAGCAGCAAGGCATCAGTGGAGTCCCCGCTCCATTCTTGCAATCCAGCAGCATCTCGGATGAAACAGGGTACCCTTGGCCGTCAATGATAATTGCGGCAGGTTGGCCCCGTAACGCCAATCGAATCGCTCGACGGTCAGGAACGAACAAACAACGGCGACAGACTGAGGAGTAGGCGAAGCATGACTTTCACGCCGGAGATGCGCTGTCATTCCTAGTATCACACAAGGCTCAGTCTACATTTGCAGCGTTCCGAAATCTAGAAAGAGCTCCAAGAAAAGGAAGTTGTCTCCGTCTCTGCCCAGACGACGAATCGTGTATCCGCCGTGACAGACTAGGGGAAAGCCTCTGTTCAAAGAAAGTCTGGGCTCTGTCGCAACTCAAAACGCGCGCCTTAACTACCTTTTTTCTTTCCTTCGCATCTGTACCCACTCTCTGATTCTAGCTGCCTCGTTAGCAAGGACACCCTTGCCAGTCAAAAGATTCCTGCGATTGGCTGCTGCGATTCGGAGGAAGCATGCCGGGCAATCATTGTTAATGCGTGTTGCCGCTTATCAAACGCCATGAGCAAGTCATCGGGCCAGCATCATATGCCGTAAGACGACAGTGGCAAGAAAATCGAGTCCTAAAAATTCAAGGATTAATGTAGATGACAGTTCTATCACGTGTAAAACGTGGCGAAAACCAGGGTATCCAGGCAAATACAAAGATCTCGCCTGAGAGAGCAAGCGGATGCTACCAGACGCTTGCTCGCCAGAACTGGCAGCAAATAGTAGTTACTTGTCTCAACTACCAACGCGACCATCACGCGAGCACGGAAGCATCTAACTCAAAAGCTTTGCCAATCCTGAAAGAGCCGCTAAAATGAATGCTTTGACAGACAGCGTAATTTAGCTGCATGTTTAGTCACCCTGGCACGGACCGACGATAGCTTTCCCCGGTGAGGGAAGTGGCCGAATCAGGTAACAGATCGCCATCAGTTCCGAACAGGTTTGATCGTATCGCTCACGATATTCATTCGTGCAATACAACTTCGGACAATGTCGGCATATAATAGAGGAGGTCATTGAGACGTTCGCTACCTCGTCGCAAGGTAACAGCCGGCTTTGGTTTCCAATCTCCCTGAAGCACGAAACGGCTTTCGTCGGCGTTCATGCTGGGTTAGGAAGAGCAGCACCATCACGAACAGGTACACTTCATTCGACGAGTTTATGTTGTCATTAGTAACGAGATTTAGACCCGGACACTGCCCGAATGGAGCTGGACGAGTGCAGCTCAACGCCTCACTTGACAGCGCCTTGCTTGGCGACGCCAAGTCTAAGAACTCCCACGAGGAGGGCGACTATACGCATTTTCGGTGGATGCGGAATATATCACGCAGAGCATTGATACTTTTGACACGCTATAAGCTCGCAAGCGTGAGACAGCATGTGCTGTGCTTTACTTTGACTCACATGTGGGTGCCATCCCGGACATGCACGACATACCGTGTTACCATAGGCGACCTACCGAAGGTGAGGAAGCAAAGCTAGGGGTTCTATGGCGCCGCGCAATGCAACATCGCCAACCGTTTGTTTCTTTCTGTGCTGGTTTCAAAACTTCCTGCCAGGCCAGGGGTGTTATAGAGTCACGCGGCAGATCGTGGATGCATCACGAGGCTGGGGCACTGCGCCTTGCCTAGACTTCTTGCCAGCACATCGAACTTGGAAAGTTTCAAGTACGACGACTGGAAGACACGGTGAGGGTAATAACGAGTGACACTGACATACACTGTGCTGCATTGACATGCTCATTTCACCTTTCAATAGACAGCATCGCCCACGGACATAAAGGAAGGACAATGCTACGTCTTAGTAAGTCGTACTATACTGCTTGCTGCCCTACCAATGTTACCATGGGAGTGCATGCACACCATCTTCCCAGCCTCACTCAGTTTATGCGACTCCATGCTGCATGGACGAGTGAACAAGGGTGAAGCAAGGTTGTCGATGGACGGGCTATCCTAGACGTCCGGCCTAGTTCATTCTATCCAATCACAACAATATACGCCACGTCGATGTAGTCGTCACCGCGCACGGCAGCCCATCAGAGCATCTGGTGCCATGATATTCACCGCCAAGGATGACCCTAGTCGTCGTCGGCCATTCCGGCATAAAACTAGACATACAGCCGGCTGCTCAAAGGCTACGAGACGAGCTTGGGCCATGTTGGCTCCAATATGGTCAGTGCCTGCGAAAGACGAAGATTGCTCGTTCAGAGTCGCATCTGATCCGCATCTGATCTGCATCGCCACCGACATCCTTGGTTTCCAACATTTAGAGTTTATTGTGTGCTTTTCCCTACCCATCCAGCTGCATTTGCGTCTCTTTGAAGAGAGTGTGCACTAGAGGTGCTGCGATTGACAGGGTACGAATGTCATCTCATGTTACAAGTATTGCACGCAGAAAGCACCCTTGCCTGGTCAAGCTGTCACAACTCACCTTTCAACTACCCGCAGCCAAGCCCCCCCCGGTAACAGCCCGGGCAATGGCGACGATCTTTCGAGGGGTTTTCTTTACCCGCCTCGGGGGTGTTGTTTGTATTCCGACGGAGGCCTACAGGGGCCAAAGGAATAGGCATCGACATTACTTGGAGGGGCCAGTGATGGCGGACAAGCGGACAGCGACATTCTTGCCATATGCACATGTAAAAGGTCTCTCAGAACAATAGCGGGAAGTCTGATACTCGCGGAGTCGCTAGTTTAGGAAAAACCAAGGAAGGACGCGGGCGTCGGGCTAGAGATCCTAGCGCGCTTCTCCAGCCTCGCTCGGCCTTGCATCGACGTCGTCGTGGTTATTCTCCTATTATGCATCGAACTTGTTCTCTTCGGAGGTTAAACCTCGAAGCGACCCATGGTGATCCTGGAGAAAGAGCGGAGGTCCCGATGGGAGGCCCCATGCCTAGCGGTGTTGGCAAAGATCATGTGTGAGATGGCTTTGATGGATTAGGTTCAGCGACGATCCGGGCCACCACCCTTCCGGGGTTAAAAAGGGTTAGCCTGACAAAGAATCAGGCAATTCCCCATATCTCTGTGGAAGGTGCGTTTTGTTCTAGAACACGAGGCTGATGGCGCTGATGGCGTTGATGGCTTCGTAGAATGGTTTGATGGGAAGCGAGATTAGAGGATCGCCATGCCAAGACCGTAAGGCCAACTTGTCCACTAATCAACCAGGGGGGGACATCTCGAATCCTAGGCTAGGATGGTGACGTTTCAACGTCAGAGCGCATCGTGACCTGGTAAGCTATCCGTGGTTGAATGCTGTAAGTGGCGGGGACGATGATGGAGTTTTGCAGAAAAAAAAGATTGGAGCACGACTTGGTCGCGATCCCTCGTCTGCCTCCTTTCTCCTCCTCAACACCGGGGCTCGCCAAAAAGAGGAAAAATGGACAAAGTCGGCCCCTCTCCTGTGCAGGTTCCTTCGACCCAACTGCCGGCATAGATGGCCGGTGCAAGCCACAGGAGCCAATTTGCAGCGCGGCAGCTCTGTCACGGGTGCTCTTTGCCGCCAGCTAACCTCGGGATAAGAACTCAAACTGCAATAGAGGGTGTTGTGGTAATAAGACGATGAAATTAGATTTATGCCAAATAGTTGATACGGGACACTGGTGCTGTTAGTTAATCAGCATGTGATGTTGTCGTGTACGGTTACACGGGATATATACTTGAGTGTCTCAGAAACTGATACATACGACCATAGGCAGTAGAGAACACCGCGTCCCGTTTGCTCCGCTGAAGTTAAGCTATTGACCGGCAGATTAGTAGTTGGGTCGGTGACGACCAGCGAACACCGGCTGTTGTATGTTTCTTTTTGCCCTTTTTTAACCCTCTTTCTTCCCTCTCCGAAACTTAGGGTTTGGTGGAGTTGCGGGCCGCGTATTGACCGCTAGTCGACAGCTCAACTACAGCGGGGTATCAAATACACCGAACGGAAAAGTCCAAATGGATCGTTTAATATATGTAGGGAAGTTTTGTCCTATGTTTTTTTTAAGTTTTATGCAAGGGGGTGCGTGGTATCGAGCGATGCGACTTGATAATCTATCTGCACAATGGGTTGGTGACCAACACGTTGGTTGGGTGGATCGGCAGGGTATATTGGTGGGATGTCCGAGTTATCATTCAGACGTAGGCAGGCAGAAACTCAAACAGAAAGAGACCCTGGGTGTAAATCAGGTTCATGCAATCATTTATCACTTCCGGCGCCCTTTTCCTTTTCCTCGTGATTTTGACGACCTGCATACGAGAGGGCAGGGATCGGTGATGGATGAGTTGACCACACTCCGTTCCATCTCTGTAGGGTATCCATCAAGAAAGAAGAAAAACATCTCATCTTCTTTGCAGCGGGCCATGATGTTGATCTCATCTTCTGTACTGCAGGCAGTTATATTGGCTCAATCTATAAAGACGGATATTCATCTCAACACCCCGTGTACACCCCCCGTTCTGGGCGAGACGAAAAGGGCAACCGCCGGGGCTTCGGACCAAGATCTACGGCCGATCATATTTGTAAATCCGCTCCCGCTCCTGGACTAATATATATTGTTACCAGAAATGATGTTGCCTTCCCCTGCATGCATTTTGGTGGGACGGTGGGAATGATGCGACTATCGGGCATATATGGCTCATTGGGATATTACAGAAGTGGCTGCATATGTGGTGGGACGGGTATACACTATCAAATATCCGATGTATTACATTTTGAACCGAAGAGAGCTACTTGGTAGTGCGAGCTCGCGACCCTGCGTGTATTGGGGGGGGGGTTGAGATCATGTGTTGTGGACTATTCGACTTGTTACATTTTGCAGGAAAGGACAACCACGTGCCATGACTACTTGGAGTCCTTATGGGGCAGAAATGAGATACTGTCAAGTTAGGAACTACTTTGTACTTGCCGACGCATTGTCTGTCTGTGAATTCGTTACACGATAAGAGCGACGTCTTGGCTGGCGGTCCCTGCGCGATCGATGTGCAAGTCATCAAATGCATCAGCACGCTAGAACACTTCTAGCCCATTTCTACATTCTTGCGGCGTATTTTAGCTCGCATTTTGCATAAATATTGGACTTATAATTAGCCGTTTAGCACTGGCAGTCCCGTCCTTTGTCGGATGAGACGCTACTGCACAGTCCGGCGAACTAAAACCAACATCCGTCCGTCCAGACCCCCCCACAGACAAAGTTATCAAAACCTCGCATTGTGAGGTCATTTGTCCGGGATTGCGCAATCTTGCTCCTACATCAACACGTTTGACAACCAGAAGGAACGGAATCTGGGCCAACAAGTCCCCTCGGGGGGTTGATGTTGACTAGTAGGGGAAAAAGGGCCCAAGATGGAACCCCATACGGAGACGCCGACCCTGTCTGGGGACCAGGTCAGGGGTCTACCAGATTCAGTCGCTTCTGTTTCTCAAACTTTTTTGCAAGTATTACCAGTAGTCACCTTTTTTATCGTCTAAAACGGTATGCCGGCATGAAGAGAGACTTTCTGGTGGACCAACTTGTTTCCGATATTGGCGAAGCAGCCCACAACGGAGTGAATATGGTGAGGAAAGCAAGGAACAGACTTCTTCGAATGTCTGAGTCTGTCTCGCATCTTGCCTTTTTTCAGAGTTGAGCCAAGTCCGCTAGCACCCAACCCCCCTGTTCTTGGCTCCTGCGCCGTTGTACTCTGAGTCTGCACGGAGTACAACAAGTGTCCAGTAAAAACCCCAAAAAGCTCCATACGAGAAAAAGAATAATAATAAAAGGTACGTGATTCACAGGGGGAGAGAGGCCCCTGGTAGCCGACAACCGAGTATTCTTTTGACCTGCGTGTTTCTCCCCTTTGACCACCCCCCCCCTCGTCACCTCGAAAGGTTCTCCGACGTCAAGTCACCTTTGCTCCGCACACGCGACGGGCCCTAGCGATTGTCGCTTTTGTCTCACTGCTTCTGCTGTCTTTCCGGGTTCTGTTTGAGGAAAAGCTTTGGAGCGATTAACACAGGGGTTTGACAACTGGATGGTCACACGGCACATCGTGATTTGATCTTGTTAACAAGTGAGCTACTGGGCGTGCAGGTAATTCGTACAGGGGCGGAAAGAGAGGGGGGGCAACATGAAAAAGTACCGAATAATAACATGTATGCACTTGCAGCGTCTCTGCCCCCCCATAAAGGCTTTCGTTATTGGCCGGGGTTGTGATACGTCGTTGGGGAGGACAGGGTAGGTACGTATGTACGCGGCTTCGCATGCAGGCTTTTTCCTTTTTGTTCCGGTTCCGTCCCATTGGGAATAGGCTCAGGCAGGTTTCCCTCATCCACAGTTAGTCAGTTCACCCCCCCTGCCGTGCGCCTGGTCGTTGTGTGTGTGTGTTGTACACAGACATTTTGCTCCGTACTTGCGTGTCAACATGAGAATAAAAAAGCCACAAAGAACCAGCCATCTTCCATTTTGTTTGTTTCCTTCATTCTACGCCCCGCAGACCCTCCCCTAGCCTGATTGGACTGTGATGATCTACGACCGAGGCGTATTAGTGCAAGCCTTCAACTCGACCCTTTTCCCTTCCCTTGCTCGAGAAATTCGCCGAGCCAGATTTTGTCAAGCTATGAAAACCTACACTGTCACATCGTAGAAAACTCGAATCATCTGAAATCGTGAAATCGTACCATTTCCCCACCATGTACACCGCGTACACCGTTTTCTTTCCTCTTTGGTGCCTTTTCCAGGTCGCCGGGACTCCACGTTAAACCCAAGACAGAGCAGGTTTTCCCAAGAGAAGAGGGGAAGAAGGAAAAAAAAAAGACACCTGTCAGGTAGTAGCAACGGGCCGAGCCTGACAAACGACTTGAGCAAAGCCCGCTGATCCCGATACGGGGTACGGCCAATCAAGTGGTTGCCAGAGGAGGCCCTCGGCCTATGGTCCGTGGACACACACCTCCAGACCCCAACAACCACCTCCGCCACAAGGATTCGTCATGCTAAGGACATGGGTATCTAAAATCGCTAAACGGTCAAAACGCCTAGCAGTACCAATAACCGAGCATACGAGCTAAAAAAGCACGGATTGTAACAATGTTGCAGGGAACTATTGTCAGTTACAGACGGAGTACTCCGTACAGCCGCTCAAGATATCGACATCTTTGTACAAGCCTCATTTTTGTGTCACTTGTCATCTTTGCTCTCTCACTCTCTCTCTGATTACCATGCGCGGCCATGCTCTTCAGGCAAGGCTCTGCAGCTTCCTCCCTCCTTGACATAACCCTTGTGTCTTTGGGGGCCGAAGAACGACACATCACCAATGGACTACAACGACTCTCCTCGTAGAAAACGGAACGAGTTCAGACGCCGTTGCGTCAATAGTCTGTGTGAAAGCAGCCCTGTCCCTGCAACGTCAAACACCACCATCCATGTTTGGTGCCTGTCAAATCGTACCATGTCTCTCATCGCCTGCGATGAAAAGGTTCTGATGAAGCGACAACTGGCCGTACGGTGAGGGGTGTGTTCCCGACCACCTGACTGCTTGCCAAAAAAAACTGCCGATGTCGCAACCATTTGGCCTGAGGCATTTGTCCGATTTGGATCGCCCCAGGACCCGGCGACGCCGATGCAACTCGGACGTGCATGTTGATGTTTTAGGCAGCTAGAAAAACAGTATGTACAGTGATGGAAATGAACCGTAGGGTTTTTGGAGCTCGACGTGCAGCTGCCGCACCAATGATCGCGGCGTTATTGATTGCGTGCTAAGCCCCCTTGCTTTACTTTATCTATACACCCCGGAATTGGGCCAGCCATGATTGAAATGAAGCGCCAGACGGTTATTTCATGCCTTGGATGGGGGGCCTGTCAATCCTTGTGATGCCCTTGCTCACTCTTGACTCGTGGAAGAACAGATTGACCAGCCACTGTCGATCTCTATTCGCGGCCTCGATATGGTGGCTTTCGAAGCTGGTGATGGGTTCTACGTAGAATAGGGTAGACAATACAGAACTGTGAAAGAGGAGAAAACAAAGAAATAAGAAACAAGAAACACTACGAGGATAAAGAAAAGTAAAGAAAAGAGGGACTAGTAACATTTGAAAACCAACAAACAAAGAGATTGAGCAGAACAAGGAAGACAACACAAACGTAACTCAGAAAGGGTATACAGACAAAACACATATATACTTTGATCCCGTCCAATCGCTTAAAACGTGTAGAATTGTGCGAGCTGTTCGCGGCTGATATATCACACTCGAACTGCTGTCCTGTCAGCTTGTTTCAATTGACGCTTCGAGGGTTGCCATCGAGGTCGCACGCAGACTTTTGCAGTTCTCAACTGACAAAGAATAAGTAGCAGTTTGAGTGATTCAATGTACTCGGTTCATCGCTGACTTGTCGTGCGTGATACTCTTACACAGCACCACTGCTTACTCCTTCGCTGTCAGCTTGTTTCAATGGCGGTCTCGAGAGCTACCATCGAGGTCGCACGTATACTCTTGTAGTTGTAGACTCACAAAGAAGAAGCAAAAGTTTGAGTGATTCAATGTACTCAGTTCATTACTGACTTGTCGTGATACCCTCTTACAAAGTCATCACGCTGCTCACTACACTGTAAGAGAAGTTTTCTTTGTATAAATAGTCTGAAAGTCCAGCCAGATCAAGGTTGCAAACAGACAAAGTCTGCTTGAAATCGTCATATACCCGTTGTCTCGACCAGAAAAGAAAGCATGTTTCCCCGTTTTCAGCAACTGCCACCGTACATTCGGCACCAGATATGGCGGGAAGCGGCGCTGCTGGAATGCAGGAGCTTGTGCTTTGTTCCGCCGAAGGACTTGGCTGGATATGAATGCACCGACGTGTCTGAAAGCTCAGTCAAGGAGGAAGACATCGACATGGATGACGGCTCTTGGCGTGATACTCCGGCTTCGACATATGATACTCCGGCTTCGACATATGATACTCCGGCTTCGACATATGATACTCCGGCTTCGAGATATGATACTCCGGCTTCGAGATATAATCCCGCTGTACTCCATGGCCGTCCCGGTCCCAGGCCCACCGCGTCCTTTGAGATGAGCATTTACGACACATACATGTTGAGAGAAGCATGCCCCGAGTCCAGCTACGTTGTCAAAAGTCTCGCGGAGAGCGACGGCCTTCCGAGCTGGTTCGATTTCGATCGCGATACCGTCCGGATCAAGCACGACGACTTGAGGGATATGTTCCACCAACACTATCACGAAGAGTTCAACAACATACAGCATCTGATCATTACTTTCTCAAAGCAGCAATGGGAGAGCACAGAGATGGATAACTTCGTACAATTTGTACAAACGGAGAGTTCTGAAGATTTTCCATATACCGATATTCTCCAGGCCCTGCCTCGCAAGCTCAAGAACGTCACCTTTGAAGTCGCGGTTACCGAGGGCGACGAATATGTGCGCGGGAAACCGTCCACATGGATGGCGATGTTCAGCACATGGTATAGGGCACGGCTTCATATGATCGACGACAGAATGCGCCTCCGCATCGTCCGTCGCAAGACAGGCCCGAATGGAGTCTGGCCGGCCGAAGTTTCGTTCGTGAACGAACGCTTCGTTGACGAGGAGACGGTAGCGAGAGAAGCAGCCCAAAAGAGGGCGCTCATGGAACAGGAATTAGGGGAACTGTTTACGGCTCTTGGGGAACTGGACCTGGCGGAGATGCTCAGGGTTCTTAGCGTAGCGCTCTGCCTCGCACGGGGATTCTGACGCGGTCGCTGCACGGTGTCGCCATTGACGAAGCTGGAGCCGGTGTCTGCTGCTGGCCGGCAAGTCGAAACCCATCAGGAGTTTAACACTGGAAAACTTCGCGCGTCTGATTCCAAGTACGAAGGGCGATAAGCAGCTGGAGATATACGAAAGAGGTTGCAGTTGCTCAATCAAATTGTACAACCAACAGCTGTCTTGACGCCGCGCCTCTATTTAGGTAGCTCTAGATAGGAATACTTTTTTCAGCAAGACTTTCTGTCGTATTTTTACTCATACATGATCATCTTCGAACAGAAGATTAGCAAGTGGTTTTCGGTGTCGGGTAGGTGGTGTAGCTGAGGCAGAGCGTAGGAGTGTAGGTGCTGCGCCTCAAATTGTTAGTTATAAACTTTGCTGCTGAATTCGAAAACAAAAGTCAAGCCACAGATTTTACAGGTTTTACTGGTAAAGAGCACCTCAGATCCCGTTTGAATTGGCGGCTATAGAATCGAGTTCCGCTCCTTCCTCGTTGCACAGCGACGACCACCCTTTCCCAGACAAACAGTACTTTCCCCTCTCACAAATACTTCTGCAGCACCGAATACCACATCATTTCACAGAAGCCGTCATTCAAAGAATCTCTAAAATATGGATTACACGTTGAACGACTGCAGGCGAGGTACGTTGTGCTGTTGTAGCCATTGACAAAAGCCCCCCGTGTCTAACAACAGTCGCGTTTCTCCGTTGCCAGACCTTCGCACCTGCGCCGAAGCTCTTATCAACTCCGTAGCCTCCTGGACCGAGCCAGACGACCTTAGGCAGATGAGCACCATCATGACGCACTGCATGCGCTTCATCGGTCTGATGCCCTCGCGCAGCATCTTGGTCGGAGAGCAGATCGCGGGGATCAAGATGAAAAAGGCTCAGTTGATAGGGTTAAGCAACTACTGGTGTGGGTATGTTAGTCAAAAGACCGCATCACGTGTCATCCTGGATCGGATGCGAATAGACACGGAGGAAGCGGAGAGAGATGCCGTGCTGTTAGGCCCGCGACTGAGCGACCAGCAGCCAAGAGGAGAGATGGCGGGGGAAGACTCAAAGGAGACAAGTGTGGGAGAGACAGGCACATCCGAGGGAGGCGCAGCTAAGAAAGATACGGCTGGGCGATGCACGATGGGGGGATGTGCACTTGCAACGTGCCCAGCTCGGAAATGCAAAGCCTGCAGATGCAAAGCCTGCAGATGCAAAGCTGGGACATGCGAATACAAGGGAAGTAAACCGGAGAAGAACACTGTTGAGGGAAGCACAACGGAGAAAAGTACGACTGAAGAACAAGGAGCTGAGAGAGGTACGACTAGGAATGGTACAATCGAGGAAGGCAAAGTTGAGACCAATACGACCAAGAGAGGTTCCGAGGAGGAATACATTCCTGAAGTAAGCGCGGCTGAGAGATGTAGAGCGAGAAGATGCAGGGCCGGTCGAGTTACGAGAGCTCAACGCGCAACGGCTATGCTGGAGCAGCTGGAAAGGGTACTGCAGCGATACCCACGACTACGAAAGGCATGGTTGACTGAGCTCCAAGGGGGGCAAGTGGTGCGAGACGAAGGAATGTACGGTAGGGCGATGCTCGGTCTGGGGGTGCTCAACTTGGGGACACAACGATGAAGGACACACAAAGGGAGATGGACGAGAGGTGTCGAGGAAGCGAAGAAGTGCAGAGCGCAGTACAGCTAAAGCGTATGGATAGAAACACTAGTGATGCAACAAATTTGAACCCAGCAGATAGTCCAACTCAGTCCGTGACGGTCTGGTGTCAAGTGTGTTGATCTTGAGAACTTGTAGGAGCACTCCGCATACTATCCCGGGTGATGAGGCTAGGTATAAAACATGTTCAAGTCGTACGAGGGTGTGCCACGTGCATGAGTATGTATAGTCATTATTAAATAATCATCACTCTCGTCTATGTAAAAACGAAATACGCCTCAACATGTGGTATCTTTTGGCTTATGCAAGAAAAAACGCAACCAGCAATCAGAAGAGGAAGAAGAGAAAAAGAAAACAAAAAGGAGACGCCAACGCTATGCAGCCTTGAACAAATCAATGACCCATTCCACCTTCACCGGACATAGACCGGGATACCATACACGACGACGGCCGCGGCGTTGAGGTACCGAAAGCGACACGCGTCTCTCGATTGCGCCACCGCCTCGACCAGCGACTGCTTGACCGGGTCTTGCTGCTCGGCCGGCGACTCCTCCGGGAAGAAGGTGCCCTTGCCAAACAGCCCCCACTGCTCAAACGTGCGGCCCGCGAAGCGGTCAATGTCGCGATCCGTCACGTCCCAGAGCGTGCCGACGACGGCGGGACAGCCGGCCATCATGTAGTTCCACACGGGGCCGTAGCACTCAAATTCGCCGGCTTCCGTGAGCGCCGCCGAGCTGCAGCCCATGAGAAAGGCCGCGGGCCGGCACTTGGCCAGCCGCCGAATCGTCTTGCCGCGGATGTACTGCGCGCCGCTACCGTGGCCAAAGTAGAGGAACACGTCGGATTGCCGGAGCGCCTGCTCAAACTCGTCCTCGTGCGGCACCCGGTTGACGATGCTCGTCCAGCCGGGTAGCGCCGCGGAAAAGGGCGTTTGGAAAAACGTCTGCGTGTTGGCCAGGTCCGACGACGGGTTCAGCATGTAGGTGCCGGCGGTGGCGGAGACGTAGTGGCCGGGGAGGACGGTGTCCGAGGCCGTCTTGTCTTTGGGTGGCATGTTGGACTCGGTAATCAGCTGACGCAGGCATGCCAGCGACGGCACGCGAGACACGGCCAGGCCGTCCATGCAGGGCAGCGACTCCCAGGGGAACGCGTGCAGGGCCTTGTCGAGTACCAGGATCGTGTGCGCGCCGGCTTCACGCGCTCTCGCGCCGTCTAGAGCGCCGTAGTAACCCTTGAGGGCGTCGTACATTTCGACAACCATGGCATCAAAGTCAATCTCATCGTACGCGTTGCGCTCGCCGTGAAATTGCAGGATATCCACAATAAAGTAAAGCAAGTCGTTGAGCGCCTCGTCAAAGTCGCAGTCGGGTTCATCCGTAGGGTCGCCGAGGCCGATAACCAAGTCGAGAATGCGCGGATCCAGCGTCACGCCCGGCTTGGCCGTCTTCTTGCCGCGTCGCTGGTTGCGCGAGGGCAGGTGAGCGTCGAGCATCTTTTGCACGTTCTTCTGGAAACGAGCCAAGAGATCGGACCGGCGCTGATGCTGCGAAAAGATGCCCTTGAAACCACCCAGCCAGGTCGTCTCAATCTGCGTCAGACACTCCCGGAGGCGCGTGTCGAGAGCCTCGCGCTCGGCCCACCAGGCATTTCGCTCGCCCTTGAGCGAAAAGTCGCGCGCAGAGTGGCTTGTCTCGTTGGCGAGTTTGATAATGTCGAGAAGCTCCTCCTTGCCATGCTCAAAGTTGTATATCTCACAGTCGGCGTCGCGGGAATTGGCTCGCTCCAACGGCAGACGAAGGATAAACGGACTGTGGCCAGCCTGGAACTTGGTCAGACACAGGTCGTGATGGTTGTCGCTGAGAGACACGGAGATGACGCGCCAGTTTTTGGGTACCATCTCAATGTAACTCTTTTGAAAGTTGGCCATGTCCGACGCCGGGGCCAAGCTAGCCCTGCGAGGACCAGCGCCGTTTCTATCACTAGCATCTTCAGAGACTGCTGTCGTTGCAGCAAGAGTCTTTTGTTCTCTGCGCCAGGTAACATTGTGAGCCAAGTCGACTGCAACAGTAGCCAATCCAGAATGGGCAATGGACCTGTGTTTTGCACCAGACGTAGCAGACAGGAGAATGATGGTATTCTGGAGCATGGCCGAGATGCGTCGGACCATGCTGCTGTCCGATTTCATCATGGCCGACGAGTGAGCTTCGGCGAGTAATTCTTGCGCCTGCTTCAGTGCGTCGGCAAAAGCCGGGACATCTTCATCCTTGGCCGCCTTGCCGCGGCTTGCCGCGACTGCTCGCCCTCGCTTAGCGGGCGACTTGAATGGCGAGCAGCCTTCGGCAATAACCTTCTCTACTAGTCCAGCAATGGACGGGAAGGAAATGGTCGAGTCTTGAATCACGGAAAAGACGGGGTCTGAAATTATCTGCTCCATGCTATGTCCGATGAGCGACGTCGCTGTTGCGACCTGCTCTTGGTAGGCCGTTATGTCGTGTTTTGGCAGTTCTTTGGCCTGCTTGAGCAGAGCTAGTGCGGCAGTCCAGTCTTGCTGGCGAATCAGGCCGCTGGCACGAGAGAGAAGCACCGAGGCGAGAAGAGAGGCTTGGAAAACATCAGTGGGCTGCGGAGAAGGTCGGGGCACCGGCGTGACGGTTCTCGATGTTGCCGCAGAGCGCTTGGTTGCTCGGGGCTTGGCGGGTGTCTTGGGCCTTGTCGTCCGTGTAGATTTAGTTCGAGAAGGTGCCGGTGCAGCTACCTCGGGCACACTGGCTTCTTCCTCCTTGTTCAAAGACGTATCGTCGTTGAGACCGCGAGTGCCAATCTCAGCCACCTGTAGGTATTCCAGCGCCTTGTCATTGTCGCCAATGTGCGAGTAATATTCTCCAAGCATTTGCGCAAAGCGAATTTTGGACGCCGACATATCCTCGGGCATCATTTCCGCCAGCACTTGGAAGCGAGAGGCAGCCTTTTCTAGGTCTCCCCCTCGGAGATAGATCGAACCGGTCCATGCAGCCACCTCGGCATTGTAGAGAGTCGATTGCGAGTTGGCGGCAATCTTGGAGGCAGTGTCAGCGTAGTAGATGGTCTCCTGGAACATGCCAATGTGAGCATAAACAGAAGAAATATGGAGCAAGCTGCGGATAAGAGGAACTGCTAGAGCCCAGACTCGTGGTCCAACAAGGGTGGCTCTGACGTCCTTGACTGAAACAGAGTCCAGGCTTGTGTCGGATAGGGTTGAGTCATTGCCACCAACAGCAGATTCAAGCTTCGTCCAGTCATGCGAGAGCATGCGCACGCTTTGCTTGATATGGTTCAAAGCTTCTTCCACGTTTCCAGACTGTAGAGAGAGGGACGACTGCAGAAGCGACACCAAGCAGACTGTCGTAGTTGCCTGAGCTTTATTCGGGGCCCATGACGACTGCGAGCGGCGACAGACAGCATTGAGTTCAGAAATAGAAAGGTTCGCATCATCCATATTCCCAATGCCGGCAAAGTATTCGGCTTGCGCCAGGTTATACGCCACGCTGACGTTGGGTGCCACCTCATCCTGCTGCTGAAGCAGTCCTTTGGCCTCGTCCAGGGCGTCTAGCGCTTTCGTGTAGAGACCAGTACTGATGTACTGAGAAGCAAGCTGGCTCTGGCGGACAATGAGCGCACTGTTTACCGTTTGCCCGTGGCCGGCAAAGATCTTGGAGAGCGATACCAACAGCTGCAAAATCTTGAGCTGCAAAAGGCGTTCGCCCCTCAAACCAGCTAGGTGTCCAAGAGACTGCAGGTAGTCTTGAAGCGCTTCGGGATCGTCAATCACCTTGTAGATGCTGCTCTCCATTGGGCAGGATCCAATCATATTGGCCCAAGTGTCGATAGCCTCTGGGACGGCAGACTTGGAGAGTTCGTCCGCATCCAAGACTGCTTGTACGCTATGATGCCAATTCAATAGATGCGGCATGAAGCCAGCCAGGCCTTCGTCCTCGGCCTTGTCCTGTGTCTCAGCTTGGCGAAGGCAGACTTGCAGATGAGGATGAATAGCCGCCACTTCATCCTCGTTGCCCAAGTTTTGATACAAAACGTGAAGCAGCACGCGCAGCCGTCGAATAGGATACTTGTCAGGGGTATAAATGCGCAGTAGGGCATTCATATTCGTGTCGTGGAATTGCAGGGCGCTGCGTGAGCCGGTACTGAGGTGCATCAGATGCTCCAAAACAGCGGCGCGCTCCGTCTCAGGCAGGAAAACTGTCCAATCCGTCCAAGACTTGTCGAGTTTGGCAATTGAACGGAGAGTCCTGGATAGCATGCTGGACTTGCCATTCATATTCCATGCTATGGTGGGGGCCTGAGAAGCCAACGCGGCGGAAACTTCCTTTAGGATGCCATCTTCAGCCATGCTTGTGCATATTGACCTCAGGGTCTGCACTGCATCGTCGGTTCGTCCAGACCCCTTGCACATATCGGCAAACAGCTCAAGCTTCGTGGAAAGCTGTGCCCGCTCTCTTTCTGCAGCGGAAAGATCCTTGACAGTGTCGATGGAGCGGCTAAGGGTTTGTAAAATCTGCTTGTTCTCCTCTCGCTTCCTCTGAGAGTGCTTTCGGAGTTGTGAAAACTTGGCAAAATACAGACTGGAAATCTTGACGAGGTAATTATTGAGTTGTTCAGTCTTGGCGGGAGATTGTGAGGGGTCGGCAAGTGTTTCGAGGAGAGTAGAACAATGCTGCAACACATCATCCAGCGGTTGCCACTCGGCCGTGGCATTCTGAACGTCACACTTGACCACCATGAGAGTCCCGTCAAGCGTTTGGCTAATGGTTTTCATAACGACTTGACGACGTTGGTCAAACTGCAGAATGTGTTTAGGGGAGGCATCCTTATTCGGGACATTTCCTAGCCATCGGCGGACGAAGCGAGGGTAGCGGAGAACGAATGTCTTGAGTATATCGTCGACGGCATCGGGTCTGCGACTTGCGGGTTGCGATGGGTTCATAGACTCCATAAGACGGCCAACGACCGAGCGTCTGGCCAGTGACAGGCTGTCAAGAAGCTCGTTCAGTTCCGAAGCAGTACCACTAAGGCTTCCATCCAAGCTCTCCAGGGCAGACTGCGCAAGCTGCTCGGTCTCTTCGGCCTCTTTCGTCCCTTTGAGTACCGCAGCAAGGAGCCATGCGCAGATGGAGGCATGCCGTACCATGGCGTCTTCGGGCGACTCAATGGTCGACCGCAAGTTCTTGAACCATTCGGCCGCTTCGTCATACTTCTTCGCAGTATAGGCAGAGGTTCCAAGAATTTGGTAAATGGCGGCGATGGGTGCTGTTGGCGATACAGAGGGAGCATACCCACAGGTTTTGGCAAGCTCAAGCAGTACATCTACCGAAGCCGCCATGGTTTTGTACAGCACAGCATCATTCGATGTGAACCGTCGAGCGAATGCGCGGAGACAGCGCGAGAGCGGTGACAGCAGCTCCTCGTCGAGTTTGCCAGAGTGACCTCCTATGTTCCACCACCTAAGTTGGCAAGTAAATGCCAGTGTCTGTAGCTCAAAAGCCGTGAGCGGCGAGGGACTGATACGTGGCTCTGTAGCGACAGCGTCCTCCTGGCTAGAAATGCTCGGCGCGAGAGATAGGACAAGTTGCGACAGCGACGCTAGCTGGCGCGCAGCCTTGGAAGCCTCCTTACTCCCAGTTTTAGCGAGGGCGGACAGGAGCTTAACAGGAGAGCAAGCTTGGGTATCGCGGAGATGAGGCAGCGCCGCCTCAATATGCTCTGGCTTCTTCGATGACGCAATCAGTTTCAGCACTTGAACCTGGCACGTCGTCACAGCTGCCAGAAAATGAGGCGGCACAGGTGCGCTGAAGCTGACAAGGTCAGAAATGCTTGTTGGCAACTCTACTGCGGCCGTCTTGGCCTTGGCCTTGCCCGCTTCCGGTTTGGCGGCGACGTCGAGCCGTCGATGCAGTACGCGCAGTTCCCTGAGCGCTTGCTCATGCATGCCCAGGGTCGTCAGCTTGCCCACGAGCGCCGACATGCCGTGCTCGACCTGCAGGTCCGTCTGGTCCCGCGCCAGCGGGCCCTTGATGTTGCGCAGGCACGCAAAGGCGACGCGCGCGCACTCGGCCGTGGCGAGGCATCCCGTGGACGGCCCGGGGGCCTGCCGAGACACCTTGGCGACGACGTTGGGCGACGTGGCTACGCGGTTGAGCGAGCGCGGCTGCATGGGCGAGAGCGGCGCGGACAGTGACCGTCGGAGCGTGCGTTTGCCAGCGTTGGCGGTGGCGGGGCGCTGGTCGCCCTCTGTTGGCTTCGCCGGCGCGGTGGTTGGCTGGGGCTTCGCGGCGTCGGTGAGAGACTTGATGGTGGCATTGATGACGTGGGTAGCCAATGCCGTCTTTTCCTTCGTCGTCAATTGCTCGGTTGTGGTTGTCGTGCCGGCCCTGGCACGGGCGGTCGTCGTTTTTGTTGTGGCGCGTGAGGCGGCTTTCGTTTTGGACGCGGCGGTCGAGGCAGGTTCGGCGTCGGGGAGGAGAAGCTCCTTGATGGTGACCACAGTAGCCGGTGTGCAGGTGGTGGTGCTGGCCACCGCTGTCTTGACCGCGTCGACCTTTTCTTGTAATGAATTCATCGTGGTGGTTGTGTCTATATGTTATGAGAATGTGGTAGTATGCATGTCGTCCTGGTCGTCGCCTTTGCAAGAAACAAGCAAAAATCAGGAATGAAGAGCGTAAATAAACGTGAGACTTGTCCTCCCAGTAAAGACTGATGGTCGGGTATTGTCCAAAAAAGGCCGATATGAAATCCGTGCAGGGCTTAAAACAATTCAAGATGCAGTGTGCTCTGCAATCTCTCCGAAAGCTTAGTTACCAAGAGATTAACGTGCATCGTCGTTTATGTGGGGCTAAACAGTGAACGTTGTCTAGGGCAACCGGTCGGAGAGCCGCAAAAAGAGGCTCCGGTTGGAAAATGTACCAGCCAGGACCACCGACGTCAGACCTTGCGCCCAACGACGACCGACAACAAAAAAGAACGGCCCCAGGAGCGAAATCGACACATAGATATTCAGCATGATTGTGCAACGACTGGCCACTCGCGCAACCGCGGCGACGCACATCACAACGCCCCTATGCCGCGCGCTAGCCCCTCAGCGCCGCCTCGCCGCCGCCCCCTACAGCAGCAGCACCGCGTACCCGACTGTGACTGACCGCGGGTTCTGGAAGTCGCTGATTCCGAAGCCGCTGCGGCGGGAGAACCGGCCGCGAAAAAAGGGCGGCCGCTGGTCGGGCGAGTGGAACCCGGCGACGTACTTCATCGTCATGTTCCTGTTTGTCGGGTCCATGTCGATTCAGATGATTGCGCTGCGGAACCAGACGGGCCGGTACATGCGCCAGGCGAGCTTGCGCCTGCGCCTGCTGCGCGAGGTGGTGGAGCGGATACAGAACGGCGAGGACGTCGACGTGGACAAGGCGCTGGGGACGGGCGAGCCGCAGCGAGAGGCGGAATGGGACGAGGGTGAGTGATGGTCTTGATTGAATGACGTTACAAAGTATGATACTGATATTATGAACAGTGCTACAAGAGATTGAGCGAGAAGAGGCGATGAAAAAGTCGACGACAAAAGAACCTGCGAAAGCGACGGTTGAACCCGCATCAGAGACGACAAAGCCTGTGGCTACGCCGACCGAAAGCGCAGCGCAAACATCGACGAAAAGCACGGGTTTCGGCAGCTTCTTTTAGCATAGTGACAGGAAGCCATTGCCATGGTAGATGTATAAATGCCTAGTCTACATGTATGTATATCATGTTGTACAACAACTTTTTATGAAAGCATATCCTTGAATATATTGGAGTTTTGTCTTTGTACCACTGGCGCAATCTCATGATGTTGCCCAGCGGCATCTTTGCGCAGCTCCTCCACGAGAGCAGGCAGAATCTCATTGGTCATGCACTCCGTGCGCACGCCCAGCTCGCCGCGCTGGCTGGGGTCGAGATCCGCAAAGAACTGATCCTCACCGCGGACGCCGCCAGCGTTGATAATGGCAATGGGCATGCCGCGCGCCTTGGCCTGCCGCGCCAGGCGCCATGCCGAGTACGTGGCGAGCGAGGTGCCCATGATGAGCAGCCGCGCCGAGGCATTGACAGCCGCTTCGGCCGCGTCCTTGACAGAGGTTGCAATGCTCTCGCCAAACATGACGACGTTGGGCTTGAGGATGCCACCGGTGCTCAGAGCCGCCCACGCGCCGTCCTTGTCCGTCTCGACAATCTCGCGGTGCGCGTCGCGGCCCACCTGCGGGTTCTCCAAGCACTTTGGACAGGGCGGGTATCGAAACGTCGTGTAGGGTGCGTCTGGCAGGTCAACGTCGCCGTCCGGGTTCGTCTTGATGCCGGAGCGGGCGCGCTGCGCGGGGTCCTCGGAGCTCAGCGCCCCCGTCCGCAGCGCCTCCTCCATAAACGCCTTCCAGCGCGGGTTCAAGCGCGCCAGCTCTCGCTGAAACTCGTTGCGGTCGAGCTCCGACCGGCAGCTGGTGCAGACGACGGTGCGCAGGTAGCCGTGGAGCTCCACGGTCGGCATGTGCGGGTGCGCCCGGGGATGGAACGAGTCGACATTCTGCGTCACGACGCCGCTCAGCAGGCCGAGCGCGCCCATGTCGCGCACCGCATAGTGTGCGACGTTGGGGGCGGCGTTGTGCGTGGCCGACCAGCCGAGGAAGCTGCGCGCCCAGTAGCGCTTGCGGGATTCGTGGCCGGCGAGGAACTCGTGGTAGAAGATGGGCCGGTAGCTCTTGTTGACGCGGTAGGTGCCGTGGACGCCGCGATAGTCGGGCAGGCCGGAGGCGACGGAGAGGCCGGCGCCGGTGAGGATGAGGGTCTTGGAGGAGGCGAGGTGGTGGGGGGCCGGCGTGGCCAGGAACCGTGTGAGGGCGGCGACGGCGCCGGGGATGGAGGCGGCGGAGGGGGGTGCGATGGTTGGCGCTGCGAGGATGTCCGTGTACGGAATCCGCAGGAGTGGTTTCGGCATGTGCGCAGGGATATGCGGTGGTTGTATTGCGGGCGGCGACGGTGGTGGACGGGTGGTGAGGAGGACAAGGTGGGTTGAGAACGGCGGAGGAGAGGGAGTGACGTAGTTGTTGTTGGGGGCGTGGGGAAGACAACAGAAGGTGGGATCAGAGAGAGAAGAGAGGTTAATTAAGATGTTTTTTTTGGTACGAATTTCATATCAATTGAAATGTCGGGGGCAGAAAATTTTCAATTGACTAATTGCCTTTTTGATAAGCTTAATCAATCTGATGAGAGATGGGTTCGGTTGATTCCAAGGCCGCCAAGCAGCTTGTCGACGTTTCTCCGCATGAGTCGCGGCCCCGCATTTGGTGAAGAGTTGGTGCAGTGGCGTGAACCACTGAACAGCCGCTGTAACTTGAAGCAAGCCACTCATGCGGTTTTGTAGGGGTACTTGGAGATGAAAATGTCAGGTAGCACATAGATGGACTCGCGGAGAGGCTGCGTTTCAATACCAATGAATACTATAAAATTGCTGACAAGGTCAAGAACGCAATTGGCCAAACACTAAGTGCATAGGTAGCCAAGACAAAGGCCTAAAAGATATCCGTATACTCCGTAAATAGCATAATTATACGAAATGAGATGTAAAAAAATGACCAACTAGACTTGAAGATAAATTTATTATTAAGCATGTGCATCGAGTTCCGAGTCCGACACACTGAATCACAGACACACAGGGCACACCCACCGTCACAAGTAGCCCGTCTCCCCGTGGAAGCGGAGGCCTTCACGTCGCGGCGATGTTCGGTCTCCGTCAGGCCACTCAAGCATACGTGATGGGCTCGTGCCAGCCGGAGTAATGCGGTAATGCGGTAGTTACCCTTTGCTTCCTTTCCGCTCCTCTCTAGCTCCTTCTTCTCCCTCTTTCTTTTTTTTTTCCCTGTCCTCTTTTCCGGCTCTACTCGACTCCAGTTGGGAACTTGTCGACGCAAATTCATCCTCCGCGGTTCCGAATCTGCCCACCCGGAACCAGTTACCGCCGAGCACAGGCAACCGTTGACAGCTTGCATAACTTCATAGGCAGGTACCTTCTCAGGTAAGCTTACCAACGGCCAGCGGTCCTTGCAGCGTGACTCCCCCCCTGCCGCAACGATATTGTCCGGTCCATGTGTCCGTCTTATTAGGTCGGTTTACTAACTGTAACCGCCAGCGTTCTCAAACAGTCAACTCGTCAACAAACCTCGCACAACCACACACGCCAATCCAAACCTACATACATGGCCTCGCCACAAACACCACAAACACCACGCAACCATCCACGTCCCCCTCCCCGCCCCCGCTACCCGGGCACGCGCACGCCGCCGCCATGTCGCGCCAGGCTCGTCGCTCTGGCCGCCTGGCGGTAACCTGGAGCCTCTCGGTGACGCCATCCGCTGCCATGGCCGTCGCGGCCATGACTGGTGCTGCTGGAGCCACCATGTCCACCATGTCCACCATGTCCACCATGTCCATGGGAGCAGCAGTCCCTGGAGGCGGACCACTTGCGGGGGCCACTGCATCGCCCAAGAGCGCCTCCATCTGCGTCGCTGCCTCTATTCCAAGCACTCTGATTGGCCCGTCATCCCGCAAAACCACAATCACCATCGCCCGCTGTGGAGGTCCAAGCTCGTCCATTCCCTCGACGCTATGCATATTACGAATACCACCACATCCATACGCATACCAGCCTGGCCTCATTGACTCCCGACAGCGACCATCTCAGCCTGCCCGCTTCCCCGCGTCTTTTTCCTGCCGCTCCTTCTTGTCCCCTCCTCCTCTTCTTCCTTCTGCTTCTTCTTCACCCTCACGAGCCAATAGCACGCGCCGCGCCTACCACGTCTACTCGTCCGCCTCCCACCTCCAATCCACCCTCTCCGCCGCGGTCCTCCATCTCGCCCCGACCCTCACGCGCCGCCGTCTGCGCAGGCTCGTCGTCGCCATGGGCCACAGCCACAACCATGGTGGCCACTCCCACCACAACCACGACAATTCCTACCTCGTCTCCGCCAAGAAGAATGACCCTGGCGTCCGCATCACCCGCATCGGCCTCCTCTCCAACCTGCTCATGGCCATCGCCAAGTTTGTCGGCGGCTGGGCCTTCAACTCAAAGGCCATGGTCGCCGACGCCTGGCACAGCATCGCCGACATGGCCTCGGACATTCTCACCCTCGCCACCGTCTCTTGGAGCATAAAGCCCCCCTCAGACCGCTTTCCCCTCGGCTTCGGCAAGGTCGAGAGTCTCGGATCGCTGGGCGTGTCCGGCATGCTGCTCATCGGCGGCGTCTACATGGGATGGGACAGCGCCATTGCTCTATTTGCCCATTTTGACCCCGAAAAAGCCCACGACATTCTCGAGCACGTTGGCCACGGCCACAGTCACTCTCACAGTGCCGCGGATCTGGGCATTCCCAGCGTACACGCCGTGTGGCTGGCAGCCGGAACCATTCTTATCAAGGAGTGGCTCTACCACGCAAGTAAGCATCCATCGCAGACCCCTCATATCTCAATCCATCTGACACATGGCAGCCATGAAAGTCGCCCGCGAACGCAAGTCCTCGGTCCTCGCCTCCAACGCCATTCATCACCGCGTCGACAGCCTCACCGGCATCGTCACGATGGCCGCCATCATTGGCGCCAACACCATTGAAAACGCCGCCTGGCTGGATCCTGTCGGCGGCCTATTGATATCCATCATGGTCATCCACGCCGGCTTCGACAACACCAAGTCGGCTCTCTACGAGCTCATCGACCAGACCATTGACGCCGACGTCCAGGGCAGCATCCGCAAGCAGGCCCAGGGCGCCCTCGTCCACGTCAGCGACGGCCATGAGGCTGAGCTGCGCGACGTTAGCGGCGTCAAGTCGGGCCAAAACTACCTCGTCGACCTCGAAATGGCTGTCCCCGCCGCCTGGACCGTCGGCGACCTCGCCGAGGTAGAGAACGCTGTCCGCACCGAGGTCGGTGCCCGTGTCCGCGGCGTGCGCCGCGTTCGCATCCGCTTCGTCTCCAAGGACGCGCCGGTCAATGAAAAGTTTGACGAGTTTGTGTACACGAATCTTGATGCGGATCCTGAAGCCCACAAGCACGAAAATGGAGCCAAGGAGGAGCATGACCACAAGCATTGAAATCATATACACCATGTAAATATAGACGAAAAGTTTTGGCTACAGTTGAATGTATAGGCGCAACTGCCGTGTTTTGTCTCAGCGCCTCCATCTCATGTCGTGTAACCAGTGTTGAGTGAAGTCGTGTAACAGTGTTGAGTGAATGACAGGCACGTCGGCAGGATACACGTGAGATTCAGCTGCACGATCAGGTGAGACGAAGAAAATTATTTCCGCTCTACTCTACAGTACGCCAGTCTCCCATAATATATTTCTTTGTTGGTTTTCGTACTTTTCGGAATTCCTCCCACACTCCGTAGTGTAGTAGCCCCCCCATGACCACTTACAGCTAGACGTTCCGTTACAATAGCCCACACGCACTCGCAACACCAACTGGTATAAGACTGCCGCTCAACAAGAATATAACATGCACCCTCATCCCATCACTTTCTCGTGTCAACAAAATCCAGAACCCTCTGTGAAAGGCGTACAACAGTTCCTGGCTGCTCCCCCATTGCCCCTCTACCCTATAAGCTCCACACCCTCATTGGCGCTGTTGTAGTAGCCTTGGTGGGGGTGAACAACGATAAGCCACCCATCTGTGGCGAGGTCGGCGTCGGTTGAGCTTCGCCATTTATACCGGCCTTCGCCCTCGAGACGAGGGGGTCCAATTGCATCAAAAACGTTCCGAGTTATCTCTGAACATATGCTCATGTGTGGGCAGACGAGCCTCTTGTTGTAGCAGGTTCGTCACGCTGAAGTCATCGAAGCTCCCCAGTTTTCGAGCCCGACTTGTAAAGCGCCTTCATCCATAACACACGTACGACTCAACATCATTTCGCTTTTCCAAACCTTTGCAAGGCCACGGGCTCCTATCCCTCCCGCGTTCCCCATCGCGAAGCAGAGTTCCTGTACCCTGTACACCAACCCGAAACCAAACCGCACGTTCCCGTAACCATGGCCGCCGCCGCTGCCGCCGACGACGGCCCTCTCTACCTGGGCTTTGATCTGTCCACGCAGCAGCTCAAAGGTACTACCCCCCGTTTCCTCTCTACGGGCTACAAACCCCTCATTTCACCTTATCCAGCTCACTGACACACCACCCAACTTTCCTCCCAGCCATCGTCGTCGGTCCGGACCTCAAAGCCGTCGCGCGGGCGCACGTCGACTTTGACGCCGACTTTGGCCCCGCCTACGGCATCAGCAAGGGCGTGCACGTCCGGCCCTCGACCGGCCAGGTCTACGCGCCCGTCGCGCTCTGGC